GCCACATTCAAAATGGAGAAAGGCGAGAGTTTTATAGTTAGTTCAACGTAAAAAAAAATTCACATCCAGTGGAAACTCGTCAAGTGGAAACTCGTCAAGTATAACAAGATAACTTAACTGATGATCCCTCACTTCGACCCCACTCCTTTTAATTAACATTGTTATGATTCCTGAGATGAGAATATATCAATACAACAAGGTATTTTTCTTCAGTTCATGACGAGTTTTCTCCGTTTTCCACTTAGGTGCAAAATAATCACAATCCACCAAAAAGTTTAACCAACGTATTTACTCTGGCAAACTAAATGCTTTACACGGAAAAAGAAAAGATGTCTTTGACTGTCATGAAAAGAAACGAGCATACATTTTCTCAGAATCAACTAACAAAAACAAACGAAGACAAAAAAACACAAAACATGATGGCCACTTAATAGTTAATTTCATAGATGTGACAGTATACAACTATGCAGTGGCAGATCCAGGGGGTGGGGGGGGGGGGGCCCGGCCCCCCCTCCCCCTTGAGAAAAAAATCATGCAAAAACACGTGATTTTTACCTTTTTAGGGGGTGCAAATTTTTAAATTTCCGAGGACCAAAAAAAAAATGTGCTCAATTCCCCCCCCCCCCCCCCCACTGAGCGACTTTTCGGCCGGCGCGATTTTCAAATTTTCGGGAGCAAAAAAAAAAAGAAAAGTTGGGCCCCCTCCCCTAAGAGATCCTGGATCCGCGCCTGCCACTATGTATTGCATTCAAAGATGACAAAAAAGGGCTACATCTCATGAAGCCGGCAGCCTATACGAGACCAACAATCTCACAGGCATTTTAATACCTTGTCTGAGGGTTCATGAGATCACGCCGGTCCACTGCGATGTCCAATACAAAAAGGGTATAAAACAACCAACATTACTTGAAAGACTCGTGTATAGCCACTCAAAAGCAACAATAATAATGTAGAACAGTTAGAGCTGCAATATAAGGGAGTTGACTTTACTTACTTCATACCAGTGCACTCTTTTATTTCAGTTTGTTGCAGATAGAAAAAAAAAACTCAAACAAGTAATGAGTATGTGAATAACACTATAGCTAACGGGTGTAGATCTTAACAAGAGGTGGGACAGATAGATTAGGAGTTTATAAATCAAAAGGGGCGTCGCTAGAAGAGTATGCGTATAGGAAGGTTCACATCTCTATTAAAAAAAATTAAAGTAGCAAATGTCGAATTTTTCAAGCCTTGTTGGCAGAGAGCAAAAGCGCCGGTTGTTATATCTGACGACTAATATATACTATTGTCAGACAATTTGAACATGGTAAAGACTATTCTTCCGGTTAAATTGTCAACAGATTTGCTCCAACCCCCAACCACCCCACCCCATTTCGCCATTCAATATCCATATGATCGAGCCAAGCCCCTGTCATAAATCAAGGTATGATGATAACACATGGAACAAAAATGTTAAGAAACAGGTGTTGACGTGTCCACATCTTGTGGCAATATGTCAACTGGTAATTCAAGTAGATGTCCTTACCTGTAACTTCCTCTGAGTGCGTTCTTGCATTAAATCTATTTACTTCTCGATGGTATGATATACATTAAATTAAAATAAATAAGACCATTCAATCTTTTCAATGGACAATATTGCAAGAAGTACGAAGGCACAAATAGTGACGATCTACCTAAGAAATGATGATCAGTATAACTCAACGATCAGTATAAACTCAAAATACATATACACATCTTATATATCTTATAGGCTTTATGTAACTCTTTTCAATAGGCCTACATATTGGATTACAAAATGATTACGGGTTAAGTAGAATTCACTGAGAGTGTGAAGGCATATACAATTTACAAGTTATTGCTTGTGCATTATTATAATACAATCGTGATAACAGAGCAAATAGTAATAGATGTTCCTGTTTTTCTCTATTATACTATTGGCAAGTAAAAACATTGTAATTCTTCCTAAGCTCAAGTGCCCAAATTCTATGGAAGACATGTCAGTTGCGATTTACCAAATTTCTCTATAAAACATAGCAATAAGGTAAACATGCAAATAGACTTGGTGCCAGTCCATACAAGCCTAAACAAAACCATGATTCTTGCGTTTAATATATATACATGTGTTCTTCATACTATACGTTATGCCTATGAACAATTTTTGCAACACCTTCACGAACTTTCGATTTATGTCTTAGGCAGCAAACACTAAAAAAAGAAACTGCATGTGTTCCATGCAATTTGGAAAATGTTAGAAATGTCTACTTTGCAGTGGCGTACCTGGGGTACTCCGTCAGGAGGGGCAAGCGATCGAAACAAAACAAAAAAGGCGATGATAATTTTCACTTCTGGTGAGCGAGCGGGCAACAAAATATCTTTAAGTAACGTTTGGTATATAAACCGGTATTGTTGCAAGTCGGGGGTGGGCACATTTATTTGTTAGCGACGTTAATTTCAATTCTGCAAGCGAGCGTAGCGAGCAAGAAAAAAAATCCCTTCTTTTTTAATAATTGCCACTTAAACTTGATTTTATACCCATTTTAGCTAATCGTGTTTCAGGCAATGTCAATCTCATTTTGGCGGGCAGGCAAAACCCCTACATTTCTCTTTTTAATGATATTGTAGCAGGTCAGTGGCGGGCACATTTGTTAGTAATGCAAGCATAATCCCACTTCGGCGAGCGAGCGAGCGAGAAAAAAAATCATTTCTCTTTTAGTGAGAACATGGTACATAAACTTGGTCGGGGGCGGGCACAAGCGTGATTTATAGTAAAAGCGATGTTACTTCTATTTTGGCGAGCGAGCGTAGCGAGCGAGCAAAACAAATTTAATGATGATTGGTACATAATTTTCAGGTTTTTGTTGCAGGTTGGGGCTTACACAATCATGTTTAAAGTGATGTTAATTCCATTTTGGCGAGGGAGCGTAGCTAGAGAGCAAACCAAATTTTCTTTGAATAACGTTTGGTACATAATTATGAACTGGTCATTTGTTGTAGGTTGGGGCGAGCATGTTTGTTAGCGATGTTAATTGTAAAGACATCGTAGCAAGAGAGGGTTAAAAAAAAAATCAACTAATATATCAATCACTAAAATCAATCAATTCATCAATTCTGGCGAGCAAGGAAACAATATCTCTTAAAATAACGTTCGGTACTTATTTACTGAGATTATTGTTGCAGGCAAGGGGGCGCACATACTTTATTAGAAATGTCAATTCCATTTTAGCGAGCGAGCATAGCGAGCAAGCAAAAAAAAATCAATTCTCTTTTAATAGAAATTAATACATAAACTTGTTTTTATTGGTGCAGGTCGGGATGGGCGCAATCGCGTTTAACGCGATATCAATTCCTTTTTGGCGAGAGGGCGAAAAAACACTTCCATTTTTAATGATATTGTTGCAGGTCAAGGGTGGGCACAATTAATTTCAAGGCAATGTCTATTCTCTCGTAGCGAGAGAAAAAAATGAATTAGTCTCTTTTAGTAACATTTGGTACATAAATTGGGTGTTATTGTTGCCATGGTTGCAGGTCGGGGCCAGTCGGGGCAGGCACAATTGTATTCTAGGCAATGCTAATCCTTTTTTTTAGGGGGACGAGCAAGTGAAAACAATTAATACAAAATAGGCTAGCAAGCAGCTCGCGCCAGCGAAGAGTGTCGAATTTGTTATATCACTTATATTTTCCTATTTTCATTTGTCTTTTTCAGGGCCGTATGTGGAATATTTTCCTGGTGGGGGAGGGGGAAAGATGCGTAAAAAGCGAAAGGAGTGAAGGGAGTTCGAGCGACCGAACTGGTCATGCGGGTACTTTTGCATTTTCAAGCATAGTATTGAAGGATTTGGTTTAGGCCTTCACCACTTGTGAGCTTTGTTAAACATTTTCAGGAAAAAACTGTACGTTTTCAAAATATCTGGGGTCAACGCCCCCCCCCGTACGGTCATGGTCTTTTTTTTTAATTTCCCCATTTTTTTCTCTCCTTTCTTTTTCCTTTTTCTTCCTTTTCTCTTCTTTTTCTTTTTTTCTTTCCTTTTCCGTTTTTTCCTTTTTTCTCTTTCATTCTTTTTTTTCTTCTTTTTCTTCTGTCCCCTTTTCCTTTTTTTCCCTTTTCTTTCCTTTCTTTTCTTCCCCCCCCCCCTCTTTTTGTTCTCTTTCCCCCTTTTTTCCTTTCCCCTTCCCCCTTTTTCTTTTTTCCCTGCAGCCCGTCAGGGGGGGCACTCTGCCCCCCTTGCCCCCCCCCCCTCAGGTACGCCAGTGCTCCTTTGTCATGAAAGACTATCGATTTATTGATGAATATTTTCGAGATCACTGGCTTGTGAGCTTTCAGACCGAGTAAAATCAAAGTGCCGATTCTATCCTTGCTTTGTATTCGGCAATAAATGCTGCTTCTTCCTCCAGTGTGATATCAAGATAGTCCTCTTCATGATCTGGTATATCAGGTAGGACGTCCTCGATTGCCTGTTTTTGCTCGGCTGTCAGCTTCACACTTTCGTCAGCTGAGTAAAAATGTAAAATACAGTATTTAACTTCAAAATAATGTTCATTCCTTCAAAAGCTTCACTGAATTAGTGATGTGCTTCAAATAACCCATTCGTGTTTTTCCCCATTATGTAAAGCAAGCTTTCAGCGCAATGAGATTTAAATCATTAATTAAAAACTCTCGCTGCTCGCATATTTGCACTCTATGAATTACGATTAATCCAAACACTCTTTCCATGAATCAGATTCCTTTTCTGTTTCTCAATAGCATAACAAACCAGAATGAAAATGTCAAGAAACTTTACATCTCATTCAATAATTAGCATATTCCCGATAGATTTTCTTTGGTCAGAAAGAAAGACAATTCAGTAGTCATAATTTCGTTTGAGGTAACATCATTTGATTCATCTATTCATTGATTATAAATTCTGAATGATTTGTATGACTGTTTCTAATTATTAATAGGCTATTAGTAGTCAGCAACTGCATATTATCATAACTGTACATAATGACAAGATCTATCTCGATTATGCACCTGTTTGCGAGGATGATGATGGGAGAGAAGCAAGCACTCCTCCTGAAAATAAGAGCTTCTCAACTGCCTTTTCCACTACTCCTCCGTATCGTTTCAAGGCCTCTTTAGCAACATCAATATTAAATCCAAACTCTGTGAGCTGAAAAAGGCAATCAAAAGAGAAAAAGAAGATGTAAGATCCCAAGAGCAATGAAAAGATGCATGTACGTGCGCGCGCGTGTGTGTGAGAGCGAGAAGGGGGGGGGGGGTTACAAGCACTTCGTTAAACAAATTATTGAAAATCATGCAGTCTCCATTTTCCATAACATTGCTCTTATTCATCTACAAATTGTTCATCATTTTTCATAAGACTGTGAAGTCAGGAGTGGAGCAATGAAAATACACATTATGAGGGGAAACGGCATAATAATTACAGACATACATGGAAATATATAGCAAGAGGGATTTCTTCTAGGATCTTTTTTATATAAAATAAAGAGAGTGATTAGAATAGTTCCCTTAAGGGTTAATGAGAACCATCCAAAAAGAAGACATAGGAAAAACATCCCTTGGACAACTATACTCCAGAACAACTCTCTCTCGAGCACTACCTCCCCGTGACAATTGAATAGATTTTCCATTATGAAAAAACACTAGAAATAGAAGGGGAAATAAAAACAGGCCATCAAAATGTTCTCAAAAAGTCTCTAAAATTCCAAATTTGCTGAGAGATATGTTGGAATGTAGGCGCTACACCCTACAACCCATGCCACTCTCTATCCACCCCCTTATGGATAATTATGTTGGAGGTGGAGCTTAAATAATATACCTGAGCGATCATCTCATCCGTAATGGGTCCATCCCAGTCTGGAACCACGTCATGATCTGATATGGAGAGTAGCTCTGGCTGTTCTTGGATGATTCTTAGGGCACCATGCAGGTCATTGTTGGTGTGCCTCAGTGCCGCTGCAACGGTCATCTTTGCAAACCCCATGCCGACCATCTGATCATATAACTCAAGCTTCACCCTATTTGACCACAAAAAAGAGGGAGAAAAAAAAATGACATTGCCGCAAGTAAAAACAAACACAAAAATGAAAAGGAAAACAAAAACTGGTGCAATTAAAATGATCGAGTTTTACCATTAGCGACGTAGCTAGATGCGTTATTATCAAGTGTCAATTTTAAAAGATAATAAATAAATAAATAAAAGAGAGGGGTAGAGAAAGGATGATAGAAGGAGATGAGTAAAGTGAAAAGAATATAATGGCGCAGCGATCCTTTCCTCCACCTCCTCCCTAATTCATAAGAATGCCGGTCCGGTGCCTCTATACCAACGATGCCATACGCCCCTGGATGCCTTTATAAATGTACAGTTTTACACCCCGCCCTTGATCAATGAATTATCATACATTCTTGCAAATATTTGCAAGCGAGCAAAGCGTACAAAAGAAAAAGAGAGACGTGTTTTTTAACTGACAACCACTTAATCGAAGGGTGATTAAACACCTGGCCAGCATGAATTGCTTCAATTAAATGTTCAGTATTGTTTGTCATTGGTATGCTGGTGACGGACGGTCGCAATTGTAAACAAGCGGAAAACTTCTCAATACATAATCACACTTGGCCCCTTTAAATTCCGAGCACGATGATTGTTGTCACTTCCCATAATAATTAACGGGGTGGTATATCTCAGGAAGTGAATTGATTAATCACAGGAGGTCTACTTTTCACGCCTTTGGAAGAAGTGGGGCCACAAGCCCCGTTGCCCCCTCCCCATGTTGCATTGTATGCCCCGGAATATACAGGTCTACGGAAAATAAAACGAAAATATGACAACATTAAAATGACATAATGGGATATGACAGAAGGGCATATAAGAAACATATTTGGTAAGAACATTTGCAGTGAGCATATATCGATATCACTATGTTCTCTTTATTTTTCTTATGTTATCATATATCTTTTTCTTTCTTTTTATCATAACCCTTTTTCTCTTTGAGGAAATTTGAGAAATTATTGTGGAAAAGAAAAGCGATTTGTGTAAAATGTGAAACTATAATTTTGTTTATGTGAATGTATTTTTCTTCTGTGAATGTGTAACATTATTTGTAACCTTGAATGGAAATGTTAAAGTTCACTTGCAAATTTATTTAGGCCTATGTGAAGATTATTTGTAATTTTGTACAAAAGGTTATAAACTATGTGAAAAGAGAATAAAAACCTATGAAAACAAAAAAAATGTATCTAAAATGTTGACCCGAGATTAAAATAAATAAGATTCTGCCCAATTAAAAATATAAATAGGCAAATAGGTGTACTAAAAACGGCAAAAGCACTAGTTTTAATGTATGTCGGTGTGTGTGTGTGTGGGGGGGGGGGGCAGGAACGGCGAAGCAACTTCAAAGTGGGGGAGGGGAGAGGCACCAACCAAAAAGGGCACTTTCTTGAAAAAAGGGCACCTACAAAATAATATCAAAGCGTAAATATACAATTTTTTAGACACATATATCCGTACATTGTGATAACATTATCAGGGATGATTTCGATATTTGTTCTCTTTATACATCAGCCAAGATATAGCTTAAGCATCATGCTTTGCACTTGGGTGTGATGGTCTGAATATTAATTTGCGAGCGAGTGAAGCGAGCGAGGACAATTTTTAAGGTTTTTTGCGGTCGCAGTGCGAAAAATTACATCTTATAAAGAGGGAAAACAAATACTAATGAAGTTATACGCCCATTCTCATAACGGAAGACTGAAAAAACATTTGATAAGTAACATAATTATATCATCTATAAATGCGAGCGAGTGAGCTTTGGGAGAAATTGCTTTAAGTTGCTTTAAATTAGGGACATGTTTAATGATGAGAGGAAAAGGGGACACTTATCGTTAGGGATAAGACACTCATTCGAAAAGAAAAAGGACACATATCATTGTTAAAAGGGAAATTATCAAAGGTGAAAAGGGACACTTATCGCACCTGTAAAAGGGGGTACTGACCCGATATGAAAAAGGGGCACTTATTATGAAGGAAAATGTGTATTTGTTGAGAGAAAAGGGGCACCGATCAGATTTTGAAAGGGTCATTTATCGGAGGTGAAAGGGGGCTTTTATGAGAAGAGTTAAGTTGCTCTTATTATGAAGAAAAAGAGGCAAATGTTAAAATAAATGGAGCACTTATCAGGGATGAAAATGGGGTAGTTATTAAAAGGAGAAGGAGCACTGCTTACAAAGAAAAAGGGACACTTCTCAAAATTAAAAGGGGCACCTCTAAGATTTGAATAGGGCTATTATCAGCCGGTGAAGGGGGCACTTATCAAAAGTGAAAAGGGGAACTTCTCGTACCTGAAAAGGGGCACTTACTAGATATTAAAAAGGGCACTATCGCAAAGAAAATTGGGACTTGTCGAAGAAAAAAAGACATGGGTCAAATTAAAAGGGCCACTTATCAGAGGTCAAAAGAGGGGAAGGGATACTTTAACAAATTAATAGGGGCACTTGTCAAAGTAAAATGGGCACTTTTTCTATGAAAAAAGGGGCACTTCTAACAAATTAAAAGTGGGGGAGGGCGCTGTGGAGGGGGGAAAACACGGTAGGGGTAGACAGTTTTTGTTGTTTCTCAGTTCAGTTCTTTTTTTTCTCAACACATTCATAAAACCTAAGGACATCAATGCATACAAAAAACATAAGCAATTGCAATAGCAAACAATCACGTTAACAACAACAACGTAATGAACACAAGAAAGCAAGCAAACAAACAAAATAGTAACACAAAACAAAAAACATGGCATTCTTATGCATAAGGGCCGGAAGCGTATGCTAGAAACGACTGCGAATGGAGTCTGAGTCCATATCGATGAGCGCGCGCGCGCGCTATTTTCACATGTTAACTAGCAGCCATATTGCAATGGCAATTGACGGGACTATTAAATTGATTTTCGTCAACATCTCTTGAATTGAATCGATCACATTTGTCTCATATTTTGTCGGATATTGCACCTTAAACTCGTTAAAAATGAAAAGGAGCAACCCCTCGGCTGGCCAAAGTGGCAAAATTCTCAGTCCTCGATCTTCAGTATGGCAATTTATGGAACTGAACAGGGAAACTCGCAGAGCACGGTGCCGCTTTTGCGAAAAAGTCTTGGCTTACACAGGGGGCACAACGAATCTGCGCTACCATTTGACAGCAGCTCATTCTATGGAAGAATTTGAGGTAAAGTAGACTACTTTAACTTTTCCCTTGACCGAGTCATCTATTTCCGCTAACACCTTTCCAGACCTGGGAAGCTGAAAGTGAGACAACGGATGTTCGTACTTAGATTGGAAAATTGTTAAAAAATGAACCCTCTTCCAATTCTTTTTGTGAATTGTAGAATAGGGTCTACAGTGTCTCTGAAACGTACAATCAAAAAAGAAAACAAAAAATGGAAATCTTAGTAGTAAATTAGTAATGGCACTGCCAATGGGAGTAAGGCTTACCCTAAAGACCCTTTCACATCGGATCTGCGTAAAGTTGCATAGTGTGGCGTACCGAGTATAGGCCTAAGCCAAAATTAGGCTGCGTATTCATTAAAAAAATGTTGCTTCGGCGTAGTATAGTGGCGTAGGTTGTGTGGACAGTGTAGGCTGGCGTACGATTGCGTATAACAGGCATAGGGTTGCGTACGTTTATGTAGGAATGGCGTATAAGGGTAAGTAGGTTTGCCTACGGTTGCGCAAAGTTGCTTATTGTTTCCGCAAATAGGATCTAGGACACCTTGATTAATATATACACTTTTATAGTAAAAGCGTATACATTAATTAAGGCGTTCTAATTCGTCGGACTGGCGTAGGTTAGCTTACTAATGCGTAGAAAATGTATATGTTATGTGTCTAGCGTCTATGCCGAAAGTACGCCCCCAAAATAATAAAAATGATAACTTTTTTTGCGTCCATCTCTTGTACCCCTTTGCGTCCCTCGGTGTATTACGTAGAGCAGCGTACACTCGGCGTAGTCGGTACGCAACACTATGTAACTTATTGTGTGAAAGGGGCTTTAGCCTTTAGGGATTTGAATACTAATAAAACTATTTTGTAACAATCTCAGAGCTACCAAGTATCACGCATTAGGCGTGACATCACGCATTTCGAGGGTCTGAAAATGCTCTTACGCACGACGCGCGCACTAGATTTTGAAAAACGCTATACCTTATACGTGTGTTATACCCTCGCACGCGCTCGCGCCGAATCATGAAAATGTCACGCATTGCCGATCTTTGAACTTGGCGTCTCTGCATTCTTAATAAAATATTAACCTGCATGATCAGATGCTTTTTAGTAACTCTTAGTCTTAGTCAACTAAGATCGATATCGCATGTCCAAATAAGATTGATAATGTCACATGCCCAAACTTTTTTTTTGTCTGAATCAATGTCTACTATTTGTGTTTGAACTTGATGTTCAAAGTTCAAACCACCATATTGCAGGTTTTATCGAGCTACACAGTATTTCGGTGTAGTCTCTTTCCTTCAGCCTTGAAGATTCTTGCAGAATTTTGCCATAAGGGTAGAGTGCATGTTCCAAGGTGCAAGAAAAACAGCATAGGGCCTTTTAGGGGGTCTACAAAATGGAGGGGAAAATTGTTTTTAACTTCATCGCAAGTCTTATTGGTCACTAAAAGTAGCCCATTTTTTTCCTTCATTTTAACCTTGGCCTAGCTACTTTAACCTTAACTGGGTATTAGTGACAGCATAATCATCGTGGGGTCTACAAGCACCTTAAAGGTAATACAAAGTTTTGGGAATTTTTGAAAATTGGATGGGGGTGATTCTTTTCAATTTTGATATATTTGGATGCCCCTGTAGATGTAATATAAGCACTAGAAAATTTAGCCCCTAAAACACTTCTGCTTTCGAGAAAAATTGAATATAAAAATTTTGATAAATTTCAAATAGCGCCGTACAGCCGTACAATGGTAGCTGCGACCATGAAAATTTCAGAATATGTAGTTGTGATATATAATTTCCAAACAGGAATAGCTTATCGGTCGATTTTAGTCAAGAAACATTGTTTTATAGCTAAATTAATATCTTGACCTTGAGAGGGAGCTATACAACATAAAGAGTTTATTATTTATAATTTCATAACTTTAGAATCGATTTCAAACGTGACAACGATCACTGAATATTGTAGGGTCGCATATGCTTTCAATATGTTCATTTGAACCAAATTCATGACCCCATACCAAAACTTTGTATTACCTTTAAAAAAGTTGATGGTCACGAGCCGGCAAGAAATAAGAAATGAGAAAAATAGAAAAAAAGTGATAAATATACTGCATTGAAGACAGGGCATTGCCATTTAAACAAAAATAAGTGTCTAGTTTGAAAGTTGTATAACTTTTTTCATTCAAATGTAGATGACCATTGGATTTTTAAAGTAAATATACTTTTTTTGTGTGTGTGCATGAATCAGGTTATTGGCCCTTCAGCAAAGGTATTCAAGCCAGGAGGAAGGCCTCTCGGATCTGGAAAGAAGAGAACTTTGAAGCCTAACACAACAAACTCTGCAGTCAAAGATCTCCAAAATACCCCAACCAAAGGGACAACAATGCCAACAGAAGTCTCTACGCCTCCATCATCATCATCATCATCATCATCATTATCAGGGCATCTGACAACATCTATTCTGACTCCAATGAAGGCCAAAATCCGTAAGCAGAAGATGGATGAAGGTGAGATGGTCATAGCTCCTAAACTGATACAACTCTTGATCCAGAGTCTCCAGCCACTGAGCTTCATCTATTCAGAAGGCTTTAGATCTTACATGAAGTTTCTGGAACCGGTCTACAAGATTCCACCTAAGCAGAAGTTGCAGAACAGCCTACTTGCCATGTTTGAAGAAAGCAAGGTTAGTAACAAGTATAGTCTGTAGAAAATTCATTTTCACATGTACATGTGTATTTTATTCCATCTTCTTCTTTTAATCTTCAAAGGACTATGTAGCCTTACACAACGATCTGTATAAACTAGAAAGATTACCAGTTTTGTATGCAGGCACACCAAATGACTTTTAAATCATACCATTGATGGGGGGGGGGATGGTAATATTAGGAGGGCTGTAAAATCAAGTGGTGAATTTCTTCCCATGTTTAAAAAAAAAAGCAATCCAATGTATTTTTATGCCTCCGCCACCGAAGGTGGTGCCGGAGGCATCATGTTTTCGGGTTGTCCGTCCGTACGTCCGTCCGTCCGTCCGTCCGTACGTCCGTCCGTCCGTCCGTACGTCCGTCCGTACGTCCGTCCCGTTTGACCGTTATCACAATATCTCAAGAACCATTTAAGATTTAAACTTAAGACTCGGGAATAGTATTTATCACCATAGGAAGACGATCTGATTAGATTTTGGAGTACGTAGGTCAAAGGTCATAGGTCACAGAGGTCAACTTATGAAATTCCTTGTATTGAGTTTGTTAGCGCGATATCTCAAGAACCATTTGAGATTTAAACTTCAAACTTAAGGATAGTATGTATCACCATAGGAAGACGATCTGATTAGATTTTGGAGCACGTATGTCAAAGGTCAAGGGTCACAGAGGTCAACTTATGAAATTCCATACATTGAGATTGTTATCATGATATCTCAAGAACCACTGGAGATTTAAACTTCAAACTTGGTGATAGTGTGTATCACTATAGGAAAACAATCTGATTACATTTTGGAGCACGTAGGTCAAAGGTCAAGGGTCATAGAGGTCAACTTACGAAATTCCATACATTGAGATTGTTATCATATCTCAAGAACCACTGGAGATGTAAAAACTTCAAACTTAAGGATAGTATGTATCACCATAGGAAGACGATCTGATTAGATTTTAGAGCACGTAGGTCAAAGGTCAAGGGTCACAGAGGTCAACTTATGAAATTCCATACATTGAGATTGTTATCATAATATCTCAAGAACCACTGGAGATTTAAACTTCAAACTTAATGATAGTGTGTATCACCATAAGAAGACAATCTGATTAGATTTTGGAGCACGTAGGTCAAAGGTCAAAGGCCACAGCGCACATTATGAATGCAAAAACAGCTTGTGATCGCGTTATCTCAAGAACCGATTGATGGATTCATGCCAAAATTAGGTCATGTTTGTTACTTGCAGAGCCAATGAACTGAGTAGATTCTTGGTTCATAAGGTCAAAGGTCAAAGGTCATGGGCCCATTATGTATGCAAAAATAGCTTGTGAACGCATTCTCATTAGAACTGACAGATGGATTACTATTTAACTCAGAACATCTTGCAGAGCCAATGAACTGAGTAGATTTTATGGTCATGAGGTCAAAGATCAAAGGGTCATATATGTATATGAGAAATTGCTTGTAATCACAATATTCTGAGAACCTGTCAATGGATTACCATTGAACGTGAATTCAATTTTTTTTTTCTGTTTTGGTTTGTAAAATTGCTCTATAACGGAGGCATCATTTTCGACTGCGCGCAGTCGAATTCCATCTAGTTTTCTTATTATTTGACTTCAGATGAAAAAGAGAGCAAAATTGTCCGAATTTATTAACAATCATATACAATACATGTATATATCTGATCATTCATTGAAATTGGAATGGGATAAAAACTGAAAGATAGATTTGAGAGATAACATAATTTTTTTCTCCCTCAAGTACTGACACTCAATTTCAAATACATTATTTGAGACTTGATTAAAAAGATGTACATGTACCCACGATATGTTAAAGGACTAATAACATCAATTCATAAAATAGTTTCATTTCCTGATTATATTTTATAGATACAACTCAAAGAAATGCTTGTTGAAGAAGCTCCCTACTTCTCACTCGTGTATGATCTGTGGAAAGGCAGTGACCGGGAGATGTACACAACAATCACCATCCATTACTTAACGAGTCAGTGGGAACGCAGAAGCTATGTCCTGGGTACTGAGCATGTTTCAGATGCCAAAGTTAGCAGCGATGAAATATGCCTTTACATCCGTGAACTGTTGTTCCAGTACGAGTTGCCATCAGAACGCATGGTGGCGATCCTGAACCGACAGGGGATGCTGAAGTCAACTGCCAAGGGTGTTGGGTCTACGTTGGTGTGTGAGTCATTGAGCTGTGCAGCAGAGAAGCTAGAGATGTGTGTTCTAGCAGCATTCAGTGTCCCTGAGGTGAAAGCAGTCATTGAGCGAGCAGGTCAACTGGTCACCTATCTTATGTATGATGACGAGGCAAACAAGGTCCTGCAGGAGATGAAGGATGCTGAATTGGGTGGAGCACAGACCGATTTGGTGCAGGATCGCAAAGGAAGTTGGATTGCAACATCTGAGATGCTCTTCAAGGTAATGTTATGCGCCAGAGGACAGAAATATTATATCCCAAAATGTAGACAGCTAAATAAAGAACCAACATTGATCATTATGTTCAAGAGAAACAGGATACAGAGGCATGTTTAGTGCACTGATTAAAGTTTTTTTTTTTTTTCCTCATCAATTTGTCGTTACCACACTGTCATATTTAAATGTCTAATGTGTCCATTTGTATATTTTGTCATATTATTGTGAATTTAGGAGAAAACAGTTTGAGTTATATATCAAAAAAATGATTGTCAAAGCACTTATTTTTCTTAAAATAAGTCCCTCAACTGTTTCTTCATATTCTGAAGAACTTTGCAGGAATTATGCATTTATGTCAGTTACATTGTGTCTTTTAATACTAGATATCAAACATACAAGTCACAAAATCTCTTTTACTTTTTTCTTCTAACAGCTGGTTGCTCTAAGAGACATTGTAGAGAAGGTTAGTAGTCTGGATCTAAAGAGTGCAAAACTGTACCTCACTCAAGACCAGTGGCATCTAGCAGAAAAGCTTGTCAGCTCACTCCAGATCCTGAGAGCTGCACTGGCAGTCATGAGCAAGGACAAGACTGGATCAGTTTCATGCCTGCTGCCAGTTGTCCACAGTATTCTTCAGCACTGCGAAGATGCCAGCCATGGGCCAAACTCTCCCATGGAAAGATTCTTGAAGACTATTGGACGGGAGACGAGAGATAAGTGGGACCTGACTGCCATCCTGCCGTCCTCTGTACCTATGCTTGCTGCGCTGCTTGATCCACGCTTCAAGAAGCTTAAGTTCATTGCTGAGGAAGACAAGACAGATGTGATCGAAGCACTCAAAGGTGTTATGCAAGCTAGTCCCGGCATCATCGATGGAGGAGCTGAAAATAACCTGCCCGCCGACTCACATGAGACGTCCCCATTCTTGTGTTTGTTTGGTGACGGTGAAGAGGATGTACCCGACAGACTGGACATAGACAGTGAAATTAGCAGCTACATGACCTTTCCTGCATTAAGGCATGATAGCTGTCCATTGGACTGGTGGAGGGTCAACAGGAGCAGGTTCTCGCACCTTGTCCAGTTGGCCAAACAGTTCCTCTGTGTGCCTGCCATTGCGCAGTCTATGAGTGACATTATGGCTGGAGCATCCATGCTCGATATGAAGAGAGCTGTTTTGGAAGTTGAACTTGTAGCACCACTCATCTTTCTCAATCATAATTGGTCACTGACCCAGCTTTAAGGATACACTGTCTAATTTTGTGTGCAGATCATTGTGTTGGACATATTTTCATGTGACGCAGGTAAAAACTCCAAACTCTGCCTTCATAACTCAACGTGAATTCAACTTTTTTAAATTGCGTTTGGAACTTTGGATATATTTTTTTTATACCTCAACGATTGGGTATATGTATTTGAAATTACTTAACTTGTTTCTTTAGTTTTGTATTGTACCAGCTTTCAAAAATGATGTGCTTTTTACATCTTGTTTTATTTTTAATTTCTGTTGTTATAGGGTAAGTCCACTCAAAAAGTAACTTACTTTCAATAGAAGCAGAAAAATCAGACAAACCAATCAAAAAAGGTTTGGGCAAAATCGGATAATGAATTTTTAATGACATGAAAAACTTTGAAAATCACTAAACAAATTGGCAACTCACACATAAGGCTGTGACGTCATTGCCTCACTATCCACCAATTGTTTTCTTTATATTGACAATATAAATCTTCAATTTTCCCACGCAATATGATACAAATCATATAGCCTAGGCAAAGGCATGGGGATAAAAAAGGAAATTAATGGGATAAAAGTATAAATAGTGAGGCAATGACGTCACAAACTGATAACCAAATTGGCACTTTGTGTAATGATTGTTTAAGTTCCATAGTTTTTCATACTTGAAAAAACAGTTATAGCTGCCTTATTAGTCATCTGATTTTACTCAAATTTGTTTTGCTGTTTGCCTTGTTTTTCTGCATCTATTAAAAGTAACTTATTTTTGGAGACTTAGAGTGGACTTAGCCTTTAAGAACATTTTTTTGAGGGGTTACAAACTGATCATTTTTGGTGTCATCAAAATTTGTCACCATATTTTGGCTATCAAAATATTAAGTTTTATGCGTGTTTAAACTTTCTGGCCATTAAAGCAGAGGGGGAAAAATGTAATTTTCTTTTTTTTTTCCCCTGTACAGGCTGCAACAATGTCATTTTTTCCAACCAAGTGTCAAAGATGTGAAATTGGCAAGAGCATCAAGCAATACTTGTGAACTCAGTCTTTCACACTTGAAAAAACAAACATAACTTCCCTATTATTAGCTATCTGATTTTACTCAATTTATTTTTGCTCTGTTTGCCTTGTTTTTCTGCATCTATTACCGGTAAAAGCAAATTACTTTTGGAGTGGACTTGGCCTTTAAGAAAACATTCTCTTCTGTACATTGATCTTGAGAGACTTTGAGACTCGGTGATATCAGAAATAATGCAGGACCTACAGAAAAATAAAATTGTATTCAACCCTAGTACTATCTGACAGCTTGTACAGGATTTGTTATTTGTTTTTAATTATGTACATTCATATTTTCAATGTGCCGATATCAGAACTTCTTAACGTACATGTAGGAGCATACGCGAGGATAGCTTATTGTACATACATGTACCTGTATGTCAAATAAAATGATCCAGTAACAAATTTAAAAAATTGGTCATTGCTTTATGAAAACTTATAAGATTTTATGTATGGAAATTAATTTGGCAAGAAATTTGTACGTAACTAACCACCCTACAATCCATCGGTGAAATGTGCAAGATCAAGTTAGCGTGATGAGCAAATTTGTGGTATTCCTTTATAAGAACTTGACAAAGCTTACAACTGTTTTCTTCTACTACATGTACTTATCAAGTATAAGTATGCACATGTTATAGTAAAATCACACTTTTTTATACCGATTTCGATGTTTTGAACTTTCTAAATGAGCACAGTGTCCTGCACTGTGACCAGAGTACAAAACGGTATTCTCTGTGTTTCACTGATATACTCATGTTTTTCAAATAAAAGATGTTTCATCTCAAAGAATGATACAAATGTCTATTCTTTTTGTTTACTCTAATCATGCATTTTTCTAAATATAAAAGCATCATTAGGTATTAATTCCGAGTTAAATGCAAAAAAAAAGCTGATCTTTTGAAAGTTGGGTAAATTGCAGAGTATAAAGAGTAAGTTGCAAACACATGCAACTTACTCTAACATTAATCAATCAAAACTATCCTCTCACGGTTCTCAATGTACTGAGCAAAAACAATGACCCTGATATGCTAATCCAAGGTTGCATAATCATTTTTATTGTTGAAATTCCTCAAAACGTAATACTGTATTCTTCCCACCCCCCCCCCCCCAAAAAAAATCTGCTTTTATTAAAACCAACTTGATAATATCAGGGTAGACTTCCCCTTTAATGAATGGGGAGGGGGGGGGGGGGGTGTTAAGTATCCTCTGGGTGGTTGTCCTTGAAGGGGGGGTAGTTGTCTTAGGGGATATTTTCAGGGGGTGGGGGGGGGGGGGTAATTTTCCTGGGGGTGATTGTCCTACCATGGCATATCACGTAAGTGACATGACACTGTATGCTTCCAAAGAGCTATGGGAAATGATGGATAAGGACCTATAAACGAACCACGATTGCTCCTCTCCCCTGAATAAATCTAGGCCTAAACTTGTGTAACCTTATCAATCTTTATGATTTTGAATCCTTCCAGGCCTATATAGACAGACTTACATTCATAAAATCACCAAGGTCTTGAAAGTATATATGTCGGCCTGTGCCGGGGAGATTTCACGAAAATATGTTTCTCAATATCCACGTCCACCTGCCGGGTTCACTAAACTTTCCACCAATGAAAAGTGAGGACGCAAAATGATCGATGTTTATTGCCATCAACTACTGACAACTATCGATTAATTTGCCATACTACTAGATGTTGACTATATATAGTTTGCCTTTATACAAAATATTGCCCAAGTCAGTCAAAAAAAAAAAGAGTAAAGTAACGGTTTAGAGAAAAAAATTGACCCTAAAACAAACGGCATGTTTTTTCACTTGATATAAGTATATTTACGATGACTAAATGCCGCGGCTGGCGGCATCTTCTTTCTTAATATTTTGTCAATTCAATTTAAATGAATAATTTTCATCCGAACGACTAGTTCGTAGTCTATCTCTATGGGCTCAGATCAAAACCCGGATGCAAATTTGCTTGTTTTTCCCCCGCACCGACACCATGTGCATACCGCGCGCCGCGGATAGCTGTTTACATGTAACTGTGTGAGATCTGTAAGCCAATGTGCTGTCTTCGAACTTGAAGTATCCGCCTTAGTTGTAACCTGTTTCATTCCTTTATTTTGGAGACAGAATTGACTTTGAGATATCTGAAGTTACTGGATCATTATGGAGGTCAATCTGATTCAAGAAGCCGAAGAGCGAGTCTCTAGTGAGTTCGTAAACAGGCCATTAAGATCGATCCGTCGTCGGTCGGATGTGTGGACTTTTATGGAGTACCGCACTTCGAAAGCAAATAATTCGAAGTACATAGAATGCAAACTATGCGGTTTGCATCTAACCGCCTCATCCCGAAGCGGTACTTCGAATTTGAGGAATCATCTGTTAAATCGACATGCTGATCAGTACCATCCAAAAATTATTCCTGATCGTCACGCTGTTAAACGTGGTTACAGATTTGCAGCGGGTCCTTTCTCATCGAGGGATGATAATGATAAAGCCAAGGATGAAGAAAGAGAAAATAAAGAAGGCCAAGACGGAGTTGAAGCGAAAAGTGAAGCTGATAAGATTAAGATGGAACTGGAGGGCGAAGGAGGAATCAATGTTGACGCAAACGGTGGGGACCGCGACTCCATCAGTCAACTGACGAAAACAAGGAGATTTGCTCAAAGTTCCATGAAGAAAGCTGTTGCCAGACTTCACCAGCAGAAAAGTGGAAATGTGCCGGGCATTTTCAGGAAGATCTTGTGTACTTCCTCCCGTGCCCAAGGCATCAGCAATTCCATATTTCGAATGCTGATTGAAGATTTATTGCCAGTGAACATCATTGAGGGACTTGGATTTCGGGCGCTTGTTGATGCTTTACAAGCAGGGTACCCTTTCCCAACAACAGTAAGTTTTACAAGCTTCTACTAGATCTAGATCTAGATCTACTAGATTTTATCATAATTCATATTCATCTGTTCATGGGGTCGAGACTTTTTGAATCACAAATTAGCTCTTTGCCTTTTTATCTGTTAACTTAGTTTGGTGATTTTTAGTAGACTAGACCAATATTTTGTTTCTCACTTACCCATCTAGTCAGGTTTAAACAGGGATATAAGAACGAAGCACTGAATGAAACGATCAGAAATTTCAACAGGATCACCGCCACTTTATGCTGATGCTGATCTAACAAATCCCCATCAAAATTAGTATTTCTACTGGTAGTGGTAGACCCCGGCCCCCCCCCCCCCCCAGAATGGACGGACCCCATGCGTGTTACCAAAATGTCCGGTAAAGCCAAGGGAAACTTTTCATGCGACAAAGTCTGGCCCGAGAATTGTAAAAAAAAAAGGGGTGTATTAACTTTTCACCCGGAGATTTCTTTAAAAATGGGGTGTTTTTTCTTTTTTTTCTCTCGTCTCTTTGGACTGCTGAGAAATTATTACGAATTAAGGGAGATACATTGAGCATTTTTCATGATTTAGGGGGTCTACAAGGCAGGAAAAGCCTGCAAAAAGCCCGCGAAAGGGGGGTTCAGAAATGTTGGCAGTCCTCAGATAGGGGGTGCTTTCAAAAAGAGGGAACAAGCATATGCGTACCCTAAATAACACTGAGTGGGGGGCCGGGTGGTAGACCCAGGTCTATAATGGTCTAGATGGCTATAGAATTTGTAATGAACATATTGATTTCTCTATTTAATTTCAAAGTGACCTTACAATGATTCTCTGCTTTCTAAGTCAAATATTAAGCACTCCCCACTTGAAAAAGAGTGTTGAATTAAGTAGAATTAACATCCTACGCTACAGTAGTATAGACAGTCAGACTCTTAATAATAATAGATTTGACATAAAGCCATAAAGTTCTTTAATTCTTGTTCATTATCACAGTTTGGTCTTGAGGAACGTCTACTTGCCCGACTGGCAGAAGGTCGGACCAAGCTTGCCAAGCGTTTGTCAAGTGCCCTGAAAATTGGCCTCAGCTGTGATCTATGGACAGACTACCACAACAGGAACTTCATTACGGTCACATCACATGTTATCAGCACAGACTGGAGAAATGAAAGCTGGGTCCTTGGTACCGTCAAGGTAAATGATCGTAAATCCTTTGTTTTATAAACTGCAGTTGGACTGAAAAATATCTCTACTATTAAAGTTATAAGCAGTACAGACTACAGACTGGGGGTGGAGAAGGGGGGCATTTACATCAGGGTCAATAGTTATATATATTTCAGTAGAAAAATCACTCAAAAGGAGAAATGGGCAGGGTGACCTTATTCCATTTCTTTTTCATGTACAAAGTGTTTGGACAGGTGAATTGTTCACAATGCAATCACAGTCCATTAATTAATTTGTTTGGATGTGTCCCCAGTCGTTGTTGTTGAAGTCTGAACTTTTATGAGGTAATGTTCGAATATCTTTGTTTTAGACGCAATTAACCCTATAACCGATAATCGGATCAGGGGCTGATCGTCTGCCGATCAGGTGAAATCGGAACATAAATTCCAATCGCCGATCAATGAAAATGATTGGAAAATAATCTGTAGAAGAAAAAAAATGCTGAAATAGTTTTGGGCTATTAAATACCAAAAAGTACATGCAAAGCTGGGATTATTTCGTCATTTGGAGTTGTAGACCATTTGAAATTAATAATATTAGTCTAAGAGTAGAGGTAAAACATGATGAAAGCCGCCATTTTGTATTATAATGTAGGCACACATTTTTTCCCATTGTCATTATAACCCAAGATAGCAGCTTAACATGAGAGAATTATCCAAGGTACAGGTGTATGAGTAAATTTAGGTATAAGAGTGCACAACAGTAAAAATAAAATAAAAATCCTTTTGAAGTAATACTTTTGCTGATACTGATCAAAGGTGCGAGGGTGTAGCTCCGATCCTATCAAATCCCAGACTTACAGGGCTTACACGCAATCATTATTAGCTGTGCATTACTTTGGTCGCTAAATTGAGAACTTCAGAAGATAGTTGATATGAATTTGTTTTCCTTTATAGCTTTTTCATATAAACTATTGATGTCAAGTGCAAATGACTCTCATAGTCTGAATTTGTATATATTTTAATCTGCTACAGTCCGTGGTATAGTGCACAAAACTACACATACCAGGCAGGCCGAGTAAGTCGTCTTGTCAAGAATCGATCCCTAACAGGCTCCCACTAGCAAATTCTAAACTAGACTACTCATGCATATATATGTTTACAAAATGGATAAAGGATACCAGTATATTTAAGTTTAGTTTTCTTAAAGCACAATTCATGGAATTCAAACATGCTGCCTTATACAGGAATTGATTTTTGTACTTTTGTATTTTTTCCATATAAAACTAAGATTTTGAATATTTAACATTTCAGGTAAAGGCGAATGCTACAGATGTAGATGTTGCCCAGCAAATTAGGGATATGTGCCGAGATTGTGGTGTGACGATCTCTGATGTTCCTGCAATGGTGTATGGCACAGATGGTGTCCAGTCAGTTGCTGACACTACAGAAAGACTGAAGGTATTGAAATCAATTTGTGCCTTTTTGAACGTGGAAAGCAGACCATGTGCAGGGGAGCTCCTGGGAATCTCTGTGCAGAACGCTCTTGGTGTTCCATCTCTTGCTAAACTCATTCAAGATGCCGGTCAGCTTATCTCCCACCTGTCCACAGATCGCACTTGCCAACAGGAATTGACACGGTCACTGAAAGACCAGAAAAAATCTCTCACTCTGACCATATGCGACACTTCCAGTGGATGGCAAGTAATATCCGATATGTTTTGTCAACTAGCAGAGTTAGAGGAGGTGATTTGCAAAGTTCTTGGTGCCGACCATGAAGCAAACCTGAGTGATCTTCAATGGAAGGTACTTCATGAGCTAATCCAAGCTCTCCAAGGAGTGAAAGCTGCAGTAGCAGTCATGGGAGATGGCAGGAACAAGTCGGGTTCCTGCTGGTTACCAGTCATGCATGGAGTACTTCAGCACATTGATACCCCCAATGCTGAGGATATCTCTGATGATGGACAAGTCTTCAGGAACATCCTCAGTGCAGAGCTGAAATCACGTTGCGAGCTGAATGAAATCCTGCCCAGCTCTTTGATGATGCAAGCTGCAGCCATTGATCCAAGATTTCACCACCTGCGCTTCTTATCCGATGAGGATCGAGTCCCGGTGGTCGAGGGGTTGAAGCAGAAACTTTCAGAAAACCACCGAGAAGGGCTGGAGAATGGAAGCCCAGAGGTTGAGGAAGACTCTCCATTCTTTGCGTTACTTGGAGAAGACGAGTTCAACAAGAAGACTATCAAGCCAGAGGACGTGATTGACCTCTTCAGGTTGGAACGTCCAGTTTCCAGAGAGACAGATCCTCTCAACTGGTGGCGGTTGAATGAAAAGCGCTTTCCTGGTCTCTGCAAGCTCGCCAAGGGTATCCTCTGTGTGCCTATTGCTGCAACTCCTCTGTGTAAGAGTACCGAGACCAGCAGAACTCTGGAAAATCGTAAACGCCTTGATCACGTGCATGTTGATGCACAGCTCTTTCTTCACAAGAACAATGGTCTGTTTGAGTAGATTCCCTGTTTGAAATTATCGGAATATACTGCCAGTACTGTCCTCTGCGGTAAAAAATGGAAACATGGATGAAAATAATCTAAAATGGAAGCTTATACCTACAGTGTATCTGAGCCGAGCTAGGCATGCATTTATTTAAAAAAGGTCACTTTTAAGGGGCATATTTTTTATTGCCATTCAATCTCGAGAAAAGGGGATCTTATTTGTTTAACCCGGTACCTGGTTTTTAGTCCCAACCCTAGTATTCTTGTTTATATAATTGTTTGATATATATATTGTTAACTAAATATTCATGTATATAAATGAATTTTATGAATAAAATTCATGCATCAAGCCATCAAATCTGTTTTCATTATTTAATATGAAATTATTTTGCATTCATTTACAAGTACAATTATCCTTGTACATACTTGAGCATCAAATATGTGCACAAGCAGTTAACATTCCCTCAAAATTCTTTTAGAAATGGCCTCATATGAAGTCTGTAAGATTTCTGATACAATTGAATTCTTTCATTTCCTCATTTAAAGTGTTAAGAAGAAATATTATCCAATCCAAATGAATATGTTCATTTATCATACAGGTACATCACTCAGGGATACAAATTTTGATTTAAAAAAATAAATTCTATTGCAACCCTGATAGAATTTCATGCATGACGTGTTATAAATTTCAAAATGCCACTATGTACATGTTTATCGTTTATTTACAAGGAATAATGCATGTTGCACTTTCAAATAACTGTACATTCAGTACTGTAAATCTAATCAATGATTTCATTTTATGCCACATAGGAATCTCTATAAAAAGAGAAAGATAAACAGGAAAAATGTAATTGTTATCAGAAGTAGGTTATGATTGAAGGATAAATGTAGCCGCTAGTCACTTAAAAGATTTATAAATATTAATTCAGTTATATGAAAAATAAATAGGAAAAATGCAACACGATTTTTACCATCAAATTTTAATGACTTTTAACAAATGATTTAAGGATAAAATGAACTCCTCTGGCGTTTCTTGCAACAAGTTTATTACGCGGTACGGGTTCATGGAAAATAAGAAGCATTCTTTATAACATGGACTGATCTGAGAAACAGAGAAATTTTGCTTTGAAATATTTCAAAAATTCTGCTGGGAATCTCTCAGACTCTTGGCTGTCGTTTGCAATTTTTTTCTTCCCCCCTTCCACATGGCAAAAAAGCAAGCAACAATTGACCTTGTAAAATTCATACCAATATGAACTTAACACTTTGTATCATAAAAAAAATCTATGCCTTGTAAAATCAGCAAAATGCTTCTCAGATCACCTGTGTGAAATTACCTTGTACATGTAGTTTTGTAGTTGTGATTTTGTTAACTGTTGAAAGTGTTTCTTTAAGAAATTTATATAATTAAAAAGAAGTAATTGTAATTCAACTTTAACTTTAACAAAGTTCTGGAAGGATATTGCACAAATTTTATCTTAAAGAGCATTTGCTTTAATTATGGATGGATTTGTTCAGTCCTTTGTGACCCTACAAACACAGCACTGAGTTGTGCTTGTTACCATATAACACCAAACCCTTGTCTTATTCTAGCGTACTTGCTACAGCACGTTATTTTTTTTTGCACGCTTTGTTCCTTTAGTTTCTGCTTATGTTGTCTGATTTCGGCCTTCTGTTCATTCTTGCAATTTTCTCTGATGAGGGCAAAGATGTAAAGCTTTAGATTTTAAAATGTCCTTTTTTCTTGATATTTTTCCATATAATGTTGAAGTTCACATTTTCTATTTTTAAAAAGAAAAGATATTGTAATAGTATAATACTATCTGACAGCTTGTACAGGATTTGTTATTTGTTTTTAATTATGTACATTCATATTTTCAATGTGCCGATGTCAGAACTTCTTAACGTACACTTGACAAAGCTTACAACTGTTTTCTTCTACAACATGTACTTATCAAGTATAAGTATGCACATGTTATAGTAAAATAGCACTTTTTTTATACCGATTTCGATGTTTTGAAGTTTCTAAATGAGCACAGTGTCAGTATTTGGTATTCTTTGTGTTTCATTGATACACTCATGTTTTTCAAATAAAAGATGTTTCATCTCAAAGAATGATACAAATGTCTATTCTTTTTCTTTACTCTAATCATGCATTTTTCTAAATATAAAAGCATCATTAGGTATCAATTCCGAGTCGAATGCAAAAAAAGGCTGATCTTTTGAAAGTTGGGTAAATTGTAGAGTATAAAGAGTAAGTTGCAAACTCATGCAACTTACTCTAACATCAACCAATCAAAACTCTCCTCTCACGGTTCTAAACGTACTGAGCAAAAACAATGACCCTGATATGCTAATCCAAGGTTGCATAATCATTTTTATTGTTGAAATCCGACAAAACGTAATACTGTATTCTTCCCGCCCCCCCCAAAAAAAAATCTGCTTTTATTAAAACCAACTTGATAATATCAGGGTAGACTTCCCCTTTAATGAACAGAGAGGGGGGGGGGGGGGGGGGTGTTAAGTATCCTCTGGGTGGTTGTCCTTGAAGGGGAGGGGGTAATTTGTAGGGGTGGGGGTAATTGTCCTAATACGGGGGGGGGGGGAGTAGTTGTCTTAGGGGATATTTTCAGGGGGTGGGGTGGGGTAATTTTCCTGGGGGTGCATGATTGTCCTAATATGACATATCACATCAGTGACATGACACTCTGTATGCTTCCAAAGAGCTATGGGAAATGATGGATAAGGACCTATAAACGAACCACGATTGCTCCTCTCCCCTGAATAAATCTAGGCCTAAACTTGTATACCTTATCAATCTTTACGATTTTTGAATGTTTCCAGGCCTAGACAGACTTGCATTCATAAAATCACCAAGGTCTTGAAAGTATATATGTCGGCCTGTGCCGGGGAGATTTCACGAAAATATGTTTCTCAATATCCACGTCCACCTGCCGGGTTCACTAAACTTTCCACCAATGAAAAGTGAGGACGCAAAATGATCGATGTTTATTGCAATCAACTACTGATAACTATCGATTAATTTGCCATACTACTTGATGTTGACTATATATTATTTGCCTTTATACAAAATATTGTCTAAGTCAGTCCCCCCCCCCCCCCCAAAAAAAAAGGTAAAGCAACGGTTTAGAGAAAAATTTGACCCTATACAACAAACGGCATGTTTTTTCACTTGATATAGAATAAGCCTATTTACGATGACTAAATGCCGTGGCTGGCGGCATCTTATTTCTTAATATTTTGTCAATACAATTTAAATGAATAATTTTCATCCGAACGACTAGTTCGTAGCCCTATCTCTATGGTCTCAGCTCCGTGATTGATTCACGTTTCACAAACAAAATTTGCGACCCGAAAACCCGGATGCAAACTTGCTTGTTTTTCCTGCCGCACCGTACCGCGCGCCGCGGATACAGCTGTTTACATGTAACTGTGTGAGATCTGCAAGCCAATGTGGTGTCTTCGAACTTCAAGTATCCGCCTTATTGTAACCTGTTTCATTCCTTTATTTTGGAGACAGAATTGACTTTGTGATATCTGAAGTTACTGGATCATTATGGAGGTCAATCTGATTCAAGAAGCTGAAGAGCGAGTCTCTAGTGAGTTCGTAAACAGGCCATTAAGATCGGTCCGTCGTCGGTCGGATGTGTGGACTTTTATGGAGTACCGCACTTCGAAAGCAAATAATTCGAAGTACATAGAATGCAAACTATGCGGTTTGCATCTAACCGCCTCATCCCGAAGCGGTACTTCGAATTTGAGGAAACATCTGTTAAATCGACATGCTGACCAGTACCATCCAAAAATTATTCCTGATCGTCACGTTGTTAAACGTGGTTACAGATTCGCAGCGGGTCCTTTCTCATCGAGGGATGATAATGATAAAGCCAAGGATGAAGAAAGAGAAAATAAAGAAGGCCAAGAAGGAGATGAAGCGAAAAGTGAAGCCGATAAGAATAAGATGGAACTTGAAGACGAAGGCATGGAAGGAGGAATCAATGTTGAAGCAAACGGTGGGGACCGCGACTCCATGAGTCAACTGACGAAAGCAAGGAGACTTGCTCAAAGTTCCGTGAAGAAAGCTGTAGCCAGACTTCACCAGCAGAAAAGTGGAAATGTGCCGGGCATTTTCAGGAAGATCGTGTGTAGTAGCTCCCGTGCCCAAGGCATCAGCAATTCCATATTTCGAATGCTGATTGAAGATTTATTGCCAGTGAACATCATTGAGGGACTTGGATTCCGGGCGCTTGTTGATGCTTTACAAGCAGGTTACCCTTTCCCAACAACAGTAAGTTTGACAAGCAATTCTACTAGATTTTGTCATGAGGTCTAGATTATTTGAATCACAAATTAGCTCTTTGCCTATTTATCACACATAGATCTAGGATAGGTGTATTTCTACTATCCTGGCTGTGCTTTTGATTCTCAACATTTCAAACCAGCACCACTGACTGTACAAAACTCAACTAATTTCACTAATCGGTACTTTAATAGTGACAATTGATGACACCTTCACCTTACTGGTGTTAAAAAGAACTAGAAATACCGGTATAATACTTGTTTGGAACAAGTATAGGTGGGCTGGTCAACTAAAATTTGACACAAAATAGAGCAAAAATAAGCGAGATAGGTCTAGACCTACTGCTAAAATACAATATCATGTAGTCTAGACTAGGCTAGTCTAGATTAATGATGTGAACGAAATTCACCTTTCATAATGCATAGTCATAACACTCAACTTAAGAAATGTCTGATATATGCCCTTTAATTTTCACTATGATGACGTGATCAAAATGAAAAATGGTGGCTACTGAGCTTGTAAAGAATTGTCTAAGACTTAGCTACTCTGTAAATATTGATCAATTTCTTCCACATTTTGATATGTTGTAGTACAACATATTTTGATATGTTGTAGTACAACATATCAAAATTTGGAAGAAATTGATCAATATTTACAGAGATAGATCTACAATCAATTTTACATAAATATGCTGACTTCATAATATGCAAATTCATATTTTGAGTTCCAAGGCCATTATGATGCTGTCACGATACACTTAATGGCCAAATGAGACATGGAATCATATCTCCGACTCCTACTCTTATCTAAATATGAATAAAAATTGAAGGTCACGGTTCATTCCAAAGAGCTAAATGGATTTTGGATAGGCATGTTTTTTGTATTAAAAGAGGTTAGGCCATGTAAAATTGATTACATGTTGATCGTCCGGATTTTTTGAAAAAGAGGAGGAGGGTGTACCATGTTATTTGATATTTGATATTTCAAAATGGCCGCTCAAAATGGCCGCTCGGTACATTTTCCCCGACAGTCGAGGCTATTTTTTTTCAAGATGGCCGCCGACAAATTTTTTTTTTTTTAAATCAGAAATAGAGCCATTTTAGCAGTGTTTTTCATGTTTTTTTTCTTTCAAAAAAATAAAAATAAAAAAAAATAAAAAAATAAATAAAAAAAAATAACAAATAACAAAAAATAGGAGGCGGCCCCCAAAAAGGAAGCGGGCGGGGACGATCAACATGAAATCAATTTTACATGGCCTTATGAAGATATGATCATAAGTTGATTTTCAGAAAGTTTCACAAAATGGCGCCTCGATGACGTCATCAGTCAAGGTCAAGGTTGAAAACCTTACCGTGTCTTTTCCATATGCTTATACATATGTGTGTCAAATATCAAGGCATTTGATTCAGCCATTTTTAAGTTATTTTGTTAACAAAAAAGTGGGTCGAAATAAAAATAAAATACAGCCCACCTAATTAATATTAGGCCATTTAAAAAAATAAACATGTTTAGCATCCCCGCCCGCTTCCTTTTTGGGGGCCGCCTCCTAATTTATTTATTTTTTTAGAATTTTTAAAAAAAATTTAGAAGAAAAAAAACATGAAAAACACTGCTAAAATGGATCTATTTCTGATTTAAAAAAAAAAAAAAAAAAATGTCGGCGGCCATCTTGAAAAATAGCCCGACTGTCAGGGAAAATGTACCAAGCGGCCATTTTGAGCGGCCATTTTGAAAGAAAAAAAAAAAGGGCCTCCTTCCTATTTTTCGAAAAAACAGAACATGTATTAGATACAGCCCACCTGATAATTTAAAAATTCATATTGTAAGTCTAGATCTAGATCCAGACTATATCTAGACCCTAGTGTCAAATTGACTGATCAGCCCAATCGGTCCTTGTGTGCAGTCTATGCAATATTGTGTGATGTGTATTGTGTATAATACCTGCCTCACAGCAAGTATGCAGTGCTAGAGGTCAATACATGTATGCATTAGCATTGACCTCTATGCTTTGCTGGAGTGCCTATTTATATCTGTTAACTAAGTTTGGTAATTTTTAGTACTGGTATTTTGTCAATTACTTACCAATCTAACAAATCCCTATCAAAATTAGTATTTCTACTGCCTGGTAGTGGTAGACCTAGAATTCTATGGATAAATATATTAATTAACGTATTGATTTCTCTATTTTTACTTCAGAGTGACCTTACATTTTACAAAGATTCTCTGCTTTCTAAGTCTAATATTTAACATTTGAAGAAGAGTGTTGAATTAACATCCTAGAGTCTACGCTACAATAGTACAGACAGACAGACTCTTAATACTAGATTTCTTGAAGTTCACATCAAACCATCAAGTTCTTTGATTCTTGTTCATTATCACAGTTCGGTCTTGAGGAACGTCTACTTGCCCGACTGGCAGAAGGCCGGACCAAGCTTGCCAAGCGGTTGTCAAGTGCCCTGAAAATTGGCCTCAGCTGTGATCTATGGACAGACTACCACAACAGGAACTTCATTACGGTCACATCACATATTATCAGCACAGACTGGAGAAATGAAAGCTGGGTCCTTGGTACCGTCAAGGTAAATCCTTTGTTTTTTAAACTGCAGTTGGACTGAAAAATATCTCTACAATTAAACTTACAAGCAGTACAGACTGGGGGGGGGGGGGGGGGCATTTACATCCGGGTCAATAGTTATTTATTTATATTGCAGTAAGAAAATCACTCTCAGGGAGAGATGGGCAGGGTGACTTTTTCCATCTCTCTTTCATGTACAAAGTGTTTGGACAGGTGAATTGTTCACAATGCAATCACAGTCCATTAATTAATTTGTTTGGACGTGTCCCCAGTGTTCCCTTCTCTTTGTTGTTGAAGTCTGAACTTTTTTGTTTTACACGCAATTAACCCTGTAACCGATAATCAGATCAGGGGCTGATCGTCGGTTGATCAGGTGAAATCAGAAGATAAATTTCATTCGTCGATCAATGAAAATGATCGGAAAATAATCTGTAGAAGAAAAAAAAATGCTGAAATAGTTTTGGGCTATTAAATGAAAAACAAAACATGAAGAGCTGGGATTATTTCGTCATTTGGAGTTGTTGTAGACCATTTTGAAATTAATCATATTAGTCTAAGAGAAGAGGTAAAACATGAAAGCCGCCATTTTTGTCTTGCCTGCGTAGCAAAAAGCGAGACATAGGCGCCGCTTTTCCGGTGACGGTGGCGGCGTCAACATCAAACTGGGTTAAGTTTTTGAATTTTTGATATAATTTTAAAAGTATATATCATTAGTCATTAAAACTTGGAATATAGGGTTATCAGGTATCCCCAACCATGTGAGTTCAATTTCAGGTAACAAAGGTCATTTCAGGTCAACAGACATAGACTATGTTGTGGCATCATTTCGAAAACTTAACCTAAGGTTAAGTTTTTGAAATTTTGATATAATTATGAAAGTATAAGTTCTTAGTCAATGAAACTTGGACTATAGGGTAATCAAGTATCCCCAATTATGTTAGTAGAATTCAGGTCACTAAGTTAAGGTCATTTTAGGTCAACAAACTTAAAGCGCGTTCATGCTTGATTTTGACGGCCAGAATCAGGCATCTGTTACGCGTTTAGTTTAAAACACGATTGCGTTCATGCTCACTTTTGTAGAATCACTGAAAAACGGCGATCACGATCACCGATCGTAAACTCACAAAAAGATGCGTTTACAATTTGTAAACGCATTTAAATGGGGTCAACGCACTGACCTCTAGTGGGTCTACGTAGTATGCGCACACAGGTTTGTGAATCCAGCTGAAGGCCACCCAAGGAGAATTGCCTGGAGAAGTGAGCATGAACAGTGCACCGTGGAACTGCGATTACGATGAGCGTTTACGATGAGCGTTACAAATCGCTCATTCTGCCTTCAAAATCAAGCATGAACGCGCCCTTAGACTTTTTTGTGGTATCAAATATCAAGATTTTGAATTTTTAGCATATTTTCAAAAGTGTTTGTTCAAATTCCATGAAACTTGTACCCAAAGGTTATCAAGTATCACAAATCATATGACACAAATTCCAGGTCACAAGGTCAAAGGTCATTTTAGGTCAGTAGCCTTGGATTATGTTTTCACAACTTTATATGAGAATAAATGAATCAATTTTTGTTATTTGTTCATGATTTTTTAATCAATATTCACTTCAAAATGCTGATTATATTCAGAGGATTTCATTTTTGGGGGCCTGCTAATGGGCCACCCTTCCTATAAATAATGTTCTAACTTCAATTTTTCATCATATCGAATTGCGTAATGCAGGCGAGACCACCGAGAGCGTTTCCCTTGTTTATTATACATATAGGCACGCATTTTTTTCCATTGTCATTATAACCCAAGATAGCAGCTTAACATGAGAGAATTATCCAAGGTACAGGTGTACGAGTAAATTTAGGTATTAAAGTGCTCAAAATGTCAAGTGCAACAATAAAAATTGAATAAAAATCCTTTTGAACCAATCCTTTTGCCGATACTGATCAAAGGTGCGAGGGTGTAGCTCCGATCAAACTAAAAGATCCGATTTACACGCAATCATTAGCTGTGCATTGCTTTGGTCGCTAAATTGAGAACTTGAAAATATAATTGATATGAATTTGTTTTCCTTTATAGCTTTTTCATATAAACTATTGATGTCAAGTGCAAATGACTGTCATAGTCAGAATTTAATCTGCAACAGTCCATGGTATAGTGCACAAAACTACACATACCAGGCAGGCAGGCCGAGTAAGTCGTCTTGTCAAGAATCAATCCCTCACAGGCTCACACTAGCGATTTTCTATACTACACTACTCGTGCATATGTTTACAAAATGGCACCAAGTTTGATAAGGATACCAGTATATATAAGTTAAGTTTTCTTTAAAGCAGAAATCATGAAATTTAAACATGCTGCCTTGTACAGGAATTGATTTTTGTATTTATATTTATTTTTCCACATAAAACTATGATTTTGAATATTTAACATTTCAGGTAAAGGCGAATGCTACAGATGTAGATGTTGCCCAGCAAATTAGGGATATGTGCCGAGATTGTGGTGTGACGATCTCTGATGTTCCTGCAATGGTGTATGGCACAGATGGTGTCCAGTCAGTTGCTGACACTACAGAAAGACTGAAGGTATTGAAATCAATTTGTGCCTTTTTGAACGTGGAAAGCAGACCATGTGCAGGGGAGCTCCTGGGAATCTCTGTGCAGAACGCTCTTGGTGTTCCATCTCTTGCTAAACTCATTCAAGATGCCGGTCAGCTTATCTCCCACCTGTCCACAGATCGCACTTGCCAACAGGAATTGACACGGTCACTGAAAGACCAGAAAAAATCTCTCACTCTGACCATATGCGACACTTCCAGTGGATGGCAAGTAATATCCGATATGTTTTGTCAACTAGCAGAGTTAGAGGAGGTGATTTGCAAAGTTCTTGGTGCCGACCATGAAGCAAACCTGAGTGATCTTCAATGGAAGGTACTTCATGAGCTAATCCAAGCTCTCCAAGGAGTGAAAGCTGCAGTAGCAGTCATGGGAGATGGCAGGAACAAGTCGGGTTCCTGCTGGTTACCAGTCATGCATGGAGTACTTCAGCACATTGATACCCCCAATGCTGAGGATATCTCTGATGATGGACAAGTCTTCAGGAACATCCTCAGTGCAGAGCTGAAATCACGTTGCCAGCTGAATGAAATCCTGCCCAGCTCTTTGATGATGCAAGCTGCAGCCATTGATCCAAGATTTCACCACCTGCGCTTCTTATCCGATGAGGATCGAGTCCCGGTGGTCGAGGGGTTGAAGCAGAAACTTTCAGAAAACCACCGAGAAGGGCTGGAGAATGGAAGCCCAGAGGTTGAGGAAGACTCTCCGTTCTTTGCGTTACTTGGAGAAGACGAGTTCAACAAGAAGAGTATCAAGCCAGAGGACGTGATTGACCTCTTCAGGTTGGAACGTCCAGTTTCCAGAGAGACAGATCCTCTCAACTGGTGGCGGTTGAATGAAAAGCGCTTTCCTGGTCTCTGCAAGCTCGCCAAGGGTATCCTCTGTGTGCCTATTGCTGCCACTCCTCTGTGTAAGAGTACAGAGACCAGCAGAACTCGGGAAAATCGTAAACGCCTTGATCACGTGCATGTTGATGCACAGCTCTTTCTTCACAAGAACAATGGTCTGTTTGAGTAGATTCCCTGTTTTTGAAATTATCGGAATAAACTGCCAGTACTGGCCTCTGCGGTAAAAAGCAGTAAAACAATTGAACATGGATGAAAATAACGTAAAATGGGAGAATATACTGAGCTGAGCTACGCATGTGTTTATTTATTTGACTGATATAAAAGATCACTTTTAAGGGGCATATTTTATTTTTATTGCCATCCAATCTCGGGAAACCTGGTTTTTAGTTCCAGCCCTAGTATTCTTGTTTATATAATTGTTTTATATATATGTATTGTGAAACAAAATGTTCATGTATATGAATGAAGTTTACTAATAATATTCATGCATCAAATCTGTTTTCATTATTTAATACAAAATTATTTTTCATTCTTTTACAAGTACAATTTATCCTTGTACAAACTTGAGCATCAATTATGTGCACAAGCAAAAATTCTTTTAAAAATGGCCTATTATGATTTCTGTAAGATTTATGATACAATTGAATTCTTTAATTTCTTCATTTAAGGTGTTACAAAGAAATATTATCCAATTCAAATGAATATTTTCATTTATCATACATGTACTCAGGGATACAAATTTTGATTTAACAGAAAAGAAGATTCTATTGCAACCCTGATAGAATTTCATGCATGACATGTTATACACTTTAATAATGCGTTACATGTTTTTAATTTCAAATTTCAAAATGCCACTATTTGTAATACTACATGTACATGTACATGTTTATTGTTATAAGGAACAATGCATGTTGCACTTTGAAATTACTGTACATTCAGTACTGTAAATCTTTTATGCCACATACATGTACATGTAGGAATCTTTAAAAAGAGGAAGAAGAAAGGAAAAAATGAAATTGTTATCAGAAGTAGGTTATGATTCAAGTTTACATGAAGTCGCTAGTCACTTGAAAGGTTTATAATTCTTTATTCAGTTATAGTCTAAATAAATAGAAAAAATGCAACACGATTTTTAATATCTAATTTTAATGACTTTTAACAAATGATTTAAGAATAAAATGAACTCCCCAGGTGTTTTTTGCAACAAGTTTATTACATGAAAAATAAGAAGCATTCTTTATAACATGGACTGATCTGAGAAACAGAGAAATTTTGCTTTGAAGTATTTCAAAACTTCTGCTGGGAATCTTTTGGCTGTCGTTTGCAAATTTTTCTTCTTCCTCCTTTCCACGGGATGGCAAAAAAAGCAAGCAACCATTGACCTTGTAAAATTCATACCAATACCGTATACGAACTTAACACTATATATATCATCAAAAAATCTATGCCTTGTAAAATCAGCAAAATGCTTCTCAGATCACCAGTGTGAAATTGCCTTGTACATGTAGTATTGTAGTTGTGATTTGGTGTTAAACTGTTGAAAGTGTTTCTTGAAGAAATTTATATAATTAAAAATAAGAAAATTCATATGATCTTCAAATACATGTAACAGAGTTCAGGAAGGATATTGCACAAATTTGATCCTAAAGAGCATTCGCTTTATGGATGGATTTGTTCAGTCCATTGTTCAGTCTTTTGTGACCCTACAAACACAGCACTGAGTTGTGCTTGTATACCACATTTAATAGACACCATGCAAACTCTCATTCTATTCTTGTACTTGCTATAGCCCGTTATTTTTTGCACGCTTTATTCCTTTAGCTTCTGCTTATGTTGTCTGATTTCGGCCTTCTGTTCATTCTTGCAATTTTCTCTGATGAGGGCAAGGATGTAAAGCTTTAGATGTTAAAAAGTCACGTTTCTGGTGCTATTTTTCCATATAATGTGAAAATTCACATTTTCAATTAAAAACAAGAAGAGAGATTGTATAATGACTATGTTGGCCTACTTTGTAGGATCTTGCACAAAAGATACACATTTCTTGACTTTTCTCATATGACCTGTTAATAATACTTGTATATAAAACACTTTTCATACTTACATGTAGTTTGGTAACAGACAAATCAGTTGGAGAAAAAAGGATAAATGGTTTGGAGAACGAAAAATTCACATGTGTCAGTTCCCTTTCAACTTACAAGTTGTGAGCTACGGTATGGAAATAAATAACTGAACTAAAACATTTATTTCATTGTTAATGGTATGGATTTTTTAAAAGCCATTTGGTATTCCATTCATAAATTAAGTTAGAGAAACTCATTTATAGATTCTCTAATTTACAGAGTGAATGATGTTTTCAAATACTGAAAGTTCTGAATTTCTGAGACAGTTGCTTGTCAATTATTGAGTAAAATTACTCGTTTCCAATTAAAATTGTACGATTCACAATGCTTTTATCCACGGCTCCAAGCTATATACATGTAATCTTAAAGTTTAAAAAGAGGAAAGCTTTTCCAGTCACCCTCCCCAATTGTTTGAATGTACACATAAACTAGTCCTGTATATCAGCCTATTTTATTAAATAAGATATAAAATATAAACGGTTCTTTAAGTTCTCATGATGCACATTATTTATCATTAACCCTATAAATTGACACCGAAACTTCATATTAATTCCAACCAGCTCTAACACTAAATGACTAAAAAATAATGAGTAACGAGCACATTAACCCCCCATAACCTTGCACTTCGCCAATAACAAAGGCCAAGATAAATCTTTATCTCACACACTGGGCAAGTATCAGAATCACAGAAACGTAGAGCAGCAGAAATGAGAGCAAGACGCCCTCACACACAGCCTGGCAGAAATCATCGGAATCGATGGATAGCGCCGATAAACCCAACAACAACAACAACAACATGATGCATTTCATATTGGTTGTAAACTTGTTTATTTGTTATTCTTCAAGTTCAAGTCAATAAAAGGCGAGAAAATTGGTATTCTGAAAATTTTGTTTTTGTCCATTACTGTCCGTTCTATGATAGTACTAGTGAGTGTTTAAAGGTAATACAAAGTTTTGGTATGGGATCATGAATTTGGTTCAAATGAACATATCGGAAGCATATGCGATCCTACAATATTCAGTGATAGTTGTCGTGGTTGAAATCGAGTCTAAAGTTATGAAATTGTAAATAATAAACTCTTTATGTTGTATAGCTCCCTCTCAAGGTCTCAAGATATTAATTAAGCTATAAACAATGTTTCTTGACTAAAAACGTCCGATTAGCTATTCCCTTTTGGAAATTATATATCACAACTACATATCCTGAGATTTTCATGGTCGCAGCTACCATTGTACGGCCGTATGAGCTATTTGAAATTTATCAAAATTTACCGGGAACACCGGTTGATTTTTATATTGAATATTTCTCAAAAGCAGAAGTGTTTTAGAGGCTAAATTTCTAGTGCTTATAATACATCCACAGGGGCATCTAAATATATCAAAATTGTAAAGAATCACTATCAACCCAATTTTCAAAAATTCCCTAAACTTTGTATTACCTTTAAGGTGGCATTATTAAATTTATTATGGTGATGACGTGAATGGTCATTATAGAGCCAGGAGCGTGCCAATAAAGGAAAAGTAATCTGTAAACTAGCACTTGCCCCCCCCCCCCCCCCCCCCCCCCCCCCCCACTGTACTGAAACCCTGCCTTGGCCAATCCACCATTACCACCTTTGACACCAGTCACCGCGAACAAATTTTATGATGAAGCCTGAAAAGTGAAAAAGCCAAAAATTTCACCTTTGAAAAAAAAATAGTCCTTTTTAGTGTCCAATATACCCGCATCACGCTCGACATATATTTGCAGTAAGTTTCAATATGAGATCAATGCACACATTAACCACAGTCCATTAACTATCACTGGGCCCGTATTATAGAGAGATGCGATTTATCCAAATAAATTGCAAGTTTGCAATGCCCTATTTCTTATCTACATAGTTGCGATTAATATTAACTCATGAGACAGGGCTCTTGTATAAGAAATGAAATACTGAACTGCATTAACTGTGTCCATTAAACATTCGGAAATGAAAGTGTATACAGACAGACACATCCTGTTGAAAACTTCAATTTCAGATTTTCACTCATCACCACATACATCCCAGATTATAATGCAAACATGTTGAACAGCAAAACATCCATTTCAACAAAAGAACAGAAAAATTAAGAAAGCAACAGTCTGGTTGATTTCTGGAAAGTTGCGAAACTGCTTTTATTGAGTCTTCTGCAATAAACTAATCTTTATTACAAGCTACTGCAGTGTACATTTGTATGTGCAAACAGTGGGTCCCGTATCTACTGTGGCACAGTTGATGCACAAACATGAATTTGCACAAAAAAAAGAGTCTGACTTTAATTGATGATTGACCGGTATTATTTCAAGAGTCAGAATGGATTATACCTTCAGATTAAATATCTGTTTCAAAACATAAAAGTGAATACTTAAGGTACATATAGAATCTATGGGTAAAATGGAGGAAATGACATTACATTCGCATTACTATTAAAGTTGTCCATCCCTTTACTGTACAGCAATCTTCACATCGTCAAAAAGAAATCTGCTAATGAAAGTTCACAATTTTCCACAAGGTTCCTACATTTCTGCAAGCTGGTATTGGTCCATCGTTGCCCTGCTCTCCAGGAAAGCTCACATGTATCCAGCTTACCTGTCTTAGTGCCAGTGTATGTGAAAGGAGGGATGAACGGGTACTAAGCTCTTCAGATAACATTTAAATATCATGTTAAGCAGATCAAATCAGCGAAACAATTGAAAGGTTCAGAAAAATAGTATACCGGTAACATGTACAAAACAAGATAGTTACAAATTTTACATGTAGATGTTAATATGACTCGTGAGACAGGATTGAGAATCCCCGTTGGGAGCATATTCCTGTTTGTGTGATACATATGTCATAAATAACTATCCCATCATCCATATTTCTATAAAGGGTAAGCCTGTCTAATTTTAAGATGAAACGGACCATTTTTTATTTTTCTTAAATTACAAAATATTTGGAATAATTTTGTACAAAAGTAATGGGAAAGATTCCCATATTGCTGACCTAAACTTTGAAAACAAGAGAGAAAAGAAAAGGTATCACTTCATTACTGGCATTTTTTCCCCTGAAATTTTCATTTATTTGTTTCTCTGATTTTTCTGTTTCTACTTGAACCAACATTCTCTGAAGGGATCGAAGATATCCCAAGAAATCGTCAGCAGGAAAAAAAGAAGCACAATCAACTCACCAGCTTCCATCAGTAGTCTTGCCAAGTCTCCTCTGTATTGTCTTCTGTCTGCGTTCTTCCTTCTCCTTCTCTGCTATCTCCTTCCTTCTGTCTCTCCGTTCAAGGATTTTGGTGATGGCATGGGACACGTTTCCAGTGGCTGCTCTCAGTCCTAGCCTAGCCTCGGACATCTCGTACCCCATGGACATCAGCTGCATCAGTTTAGTTTCATCCACCTGCAGGGAATTGAGGACCCTCTCTGCCTGTAAATATAAGAGCTCATGATATTTCTAAAATGGCCTTGGGAATCTTTATTAAATGACTGGCTGATCGAGCAGCACAATGAAGCAGTGCATGTACACATTTGTACCTCTAGACAACCTCTATAGCTACCAATACTACCGGAATGCAATAAATATGGATTGGCTGACACAATGGATCACTGCACTACACTCATAATAACTTACTGAGCATTACATGTCGATAAAAATAATTTTGAGATACGTCATACTTATTTATCAAATACCGAGAATCTACACATCTACAATGTATAAAACAAATATCAGATTGCTCTTTTTGAGAAAAGAATAAATTACTACACTCCGTAACATCGAAATGGTCCCTAGACCATACTATTTGTGGTGCAGGCTTGAGACAATTTGAAAGTTTACCAATGAGTTAATTTCATCTAACACACTCTGCACAATAATTGCATACCTTTAGGAGGTGATCTAACATTTGTTCCAGTTTCCATGGCATCACATGAATAGCATTAGAGTTTGGGTTATGAATGGATTTAAGTAAGGTTTATGTAGAGATGGGTCCAGAGGTAAAGTTGGGTAAACTTCCTAGTGTTATAATTGAGGATTTGTATGTTATACAATTATTTTGATATATTGCCTAAGGTAAAGCCAAAAGCAATATATCTGTTCAGTGTATTGAAGTCAATTTTTCCCCTCTAATGTTCAACCTATAAATTGACAATAAAAACTTGAACATACCTTTTCAAGAAGGGTCTTTCCCTGTCTAAAGTCATTTTTCAGAACAGCAACAATTCCCTGGAATTAGAATAGACATAACATGACTCCTTCAAATCAGAATAAATGTCAAATCATATGAACATATAAATGTACAATATCTACCACAGCATTGTACAGTCAAACCTGCTTTAGTGACCACCTGTCTTCAAAGGCCACATTTGTTGTTTCCCTTGAAAAAGGTTTCTAATTGAATCATGTACTACTTAGGAAACCTGTCTACAAAGGCCAATTTTTGTGTTTCCCTTGGGCGGTCGCTATATATAGACAGGTTTGACTGTACATTTTAATATTTTGAGAAAATTGAAATTTCACATATTTTCTCCTATATGTGGAGTGGTAAGATGGCAAGAATTAGTAATCCAACAGCTCAAAACCACAAATATGGTGAGGTAGAGAATGACTTAGTAAATATTGCTCTGCATTAAACAAAACATTTAGATACCCATTAATAGCATCTTCCATGGCAGGCCAGTCTTGCATGTATTTCTTTTCCTTTTTGTTTCCTTTTTCTTCTTTTAAGACTCAATCAAGAGTGATCTGTCCTGATGGCAGGTTTAGTGACCCTATCAGTTTCTACAAAAATTGTCTCTCTAAAGTCTGTTTTCAATATTGAGCAATCTGATTCACTAAACCATACATCCCACTCCACCACACTTTGCAAGAAGATCATCCAGGAAAACTTTTCAAGATTTCTCTTCAGATGGCCTTTGCTGACTCTTGACAAGAGAGCCACTCAAGAATACTGCAACTTAATTTTAATTGCTACTAGCTCACCTGCAATATATAGAGCCTAACATTAAATGTGCTACTTGTAACTCTCCTTTACCTGCCTTTTAAAGGCTTGTTCAGGTATGAGGCAGTAAACTGCTGCGTTTTTTAAAAACATTTATTGAATGACAACTGAGTGCAACAAAGGTCCTATGCATATTCACTAAGCTCTGCATTGAAATGTGAAGTATTTTAAATCTAGTTTTCTATCATTTAAAAAATGCAATGGTTAACCCCTTCCAATCTGAACAAGGCTTAAAGCTTATCTGCCCTACTTTGGCCAGAAGGGATTAGACCTCCCTGAGTGGTCACTGGCAGGTGGTTATCTCATCAAATCAGCTCTCAATTAACATAAGAAAAGGGTAACATGGGGAGTCAAGGGGTACCGCTTAGGCATTGTTGGCTATATAGAGGGCGCAAGTAGTGCAGTTCCGCTTTAAGACTTCTGCTAATAAAAGTTTGATTGGTATTTTGATATAGCCTACCTGTAGTAAATAGAGCCTCACATAAAGTGATAAACTTCTACTGTTATCTCTGTACAATGCCCGAAGACTGCTGCTGCACTGTAGTGAAAGTATGATGACTATAGTTCCATATAGCTTACCTGTAGTAAGTAGAGCCTCACATAGAGTGCCAACTCTCTGCTATTGTCACCTTTCAATGCCATCAATCTCTCCATGTTTGCTCCATAGCTACGGTTGAAGCATTCCTCACACATCCTCAGTCTAGACTCTTGTATGGTATGGGCAAAAACAAATCAGATCAGAAAATGAGATTTAACCCTTTCTGTAGTTCTGAGTTTACTATATCGCAAGTTATTATATCTCTCCAGAGTAAGACTTTTGCGTCTAGGGTCATTCCATGTCAAATCACCCAAAAAATCTGAAAATCTTAACCCGACCATTTTTGATTTTGATGAAACTTAGTGTACTTGTTGAGTGTGATCTCACAGCACCAAATCCAAAATTTTAGGTCAATTGGGTGAGGGGTTTGGGAGATACGGCCAACCAAATTTTGAGATTTTTTCAAAAATGGGGGTGGTGGGCCTACCTTTGAACCCTGGTATCTCGGGACCTAATGGGTCAATCTTCACAAAATTTGTATTGTTGGAAAGGGTATTCAATAAGGATTCCAAATCTGCCGCCATTTTGAAAATTTGTACATGTTGGGGTACTTTGACCTCTTGACCTAAGATTTGACCTTGAAATTAACCTTGTGGATCACGTGACCTTGACAACATTTTTCGTGAAATGTAATCTCTGACATGTTCACTTAAACATATAAAAGTTTCAGAGATATTTTCAGGGGTAATTGTCCTAGGGGGTAATTGTCTGGGGGTTATTGTCCTCTGGGTGTGATAGTCCTCCGGGGTAATTATCCTCGGGGGTGGGGGGGACATTTCCTGGGAGTTAATTTTCCAGGGGGGTAAATATCCTAGAACCGACTCAGAGGCCTAAAGCCATAACTTTAGGCCTATATGAACTTGTCATTTTATTTCTATTCGAGTACTGCTGACATTTAAAATGGATATGCATAGAACAAAAAAGCATGTGGAAGATGTATGTTGTACTGTGCATATTGCATGTATTGTATACATTATAATAGGGTTTATTGTGAATATCTGTAACTATGGATACTTTCAATCCTTATTGCTCCTAAACAAAAAATATTATATCTCTGAAACTTTTAGTGAACATGTCAGAGATTACATTTCATGAAAAATGTTGTCAAGGTCACGTGATCCACAAGGTCAATTTCAAGGTCAAATCTTAGGTCAAGAGGTCAAGGTACCCCAACATGTACAAATTTTCAAAATGGCGGCAGATTTGGAATCCTTATTGAATACCCTTTCCAACTATACAAATTTTGTGAAGATTGACCCATTAGGTCCCGAGATACAAGGGTTCAAAGGTAGGCCCACCACCCCCATTTTTGAAAAAATCTCAAAATTTGGTTGGCCGTATCTCCCAAACCCCTCACCCGATTGACCTAAAATTTTGGATTTGGTGCTGTGAGATCACACTCAACAAGTACACTAAGTTTCATCAAAATAAAAAATGGTCGGGTTAAAACCATTGGGTGATTTGACATGGAATGACCCTCTAATTTCTTTAGTCCATTGTAGAATTGAATATGAAATATCGCACATGAGAAGAAACTTCATACTACATTTACCAGTACCTGCCTCTAGCACAGAAAGATTGCTATTTTTAGTCAAACTATATGATTCATTGTGCAAATTCTCTTTACATTTTACATTCACATTATTACAGATCTAAAAGAAAATATCTGAGACAGTATTCTGAGATTCATTTTATCTCAGTTATTGCAAATATGTTTTTTTTAAATCCCCTGTATGAAATAAATCTATTCCAATATCAATAACAAAGAAAATGACATTTTATTAAGTTTTCTGTACAGAGCAAATGAGAAAGGAAGCTCGGATGATACATCACAGTGTTGCCAATTTGTGTTTCACTGATGACATCTTTAAAACTTCATAACTTTCCTATTTTTAATTGCATTTTGCTCAAACTTTCGCTTATTTGTTTCTCTTATTTTTCTTCTTTTTTTAAAATGAACTTTATATCAGGGTGGACTTCCCCTTTAAAGTTTAAAAGGTCAGTGAAAATAGCCTAAATGGAATGGAAGCGAAACATTTGCACGTGTAAAAATCCTTGTTTGCTATCAATGTAATTACCTGCATCAGGTAGCTGGTCAACGTTTTGAAGACTTAGATAACACCATACAATGTCCAAACACAGCACAGCATAGTTGTCTACTGCCTCCAAAATCTCTGATCGACATTGCCTGATGACAGAAAGAAAAAGAGATGTCTTTAACCCATACCATGCCACTATTAGGTAGTTTACAAGTATAGCATCGTCTGTTCAGAGCGATAAGGGCGTTAGCTGATAAAACAATAGAAGTTTACAGCCTTCTGGCTCCAAACAGACAGTATCACAAATACAATATTGTGATGCAAAGTTTCATTCAGAGGGGCTCTTTTTCATTGTTCACCTTGATTTAACAATTTGTTTCAAGATACCCAACTTCACAACCGGTTTTGACATCAAAGAAAAATCTATTTTCTCAAAAGGATGCTGTCCGTGAATCATTTGGAAAACATCATCATCCCCAGAAACCTTTCATTAACCTCAACCAAATATGTCTCAAATCTTATTCAGATATGTGGTAAACAGCAGCCTTTTTGTTTAAACGCGGCAACAGCCGGCAACAAAGGTCCTACGCGTATGTTATAAGATACAGAGATGTTAACAGAATTACATGATAAATATTTTGTTTAAACTGTTGTGGTTTACCATAGATTATCTGGACAATGCTTAATTAGTAGGATCTACCTAGAAAAGCCAACTCTCTAATTCTGTGTCCTTCAAGCGGCGTTTATTGACAGATTTCATGATCAGACCAAGACCAGGCATTGACCAAACACAAAATTGTGTAAACCTTGTGTAGATTCTGAAGTTGATTATTGGTTGGTTTGAAGCCCCCCCCCCCCACTCAGTGTTATTTAGGGTACATGTATGCATGTTCCCTTTCTCTGAAAACACCTTCCTAAGTCTGGTGTGTAAAGTCAATACGGGCCAATTTTTTGTGTATTACAAGCTGGACTTTGAGGCGTGAAAAGTCCCCGTTTACCAGAGATTTGGGGAACATGAATGCTGTCCCTCTGTTTCCGGAGTAGGGGGAGGGGGGGGGCTGAAGTCTGTTTTGAGGTGTGACTGGGTGATACATAACTAAACAGATTATTGTTGACATACCTAAAAGCATGGTCAGCCTCGAGTAGAATGAGCAGACCTTCTCCATGCTGCTTTCTCTTTAAACACGCCCGTCCCTTCTCGTTGAGCGTCAACGCAACGGAGAGGGCTTGTCTTTCTTCATCCGGCAGCTTGATGGCACGCCCGGTGTGGTCCGCAATCTGGAGAAAGTACCGGTCATCTTCTCGACCTATGCGGTCTTCTGCAAATGATAAAAGAACAAACGTAAGGCTTTTGCTGAGATGTTTCTCCCTTTAAAAAGATAATTTTAAAAGATCGCATTAAGCCCTATATACAAAGCAATATTTCATTTTCAATCAAGATTAGATGCAAATATTGAATGCAATTTTATCATTCAAATCATCTTTCCACTCATCTCGAATTAACGAAATGACATGTTCAAAATCATATTTTCCCATATTATCTGGCAATTTTAAAATTTCTTTAAAATTTCAATTTTTTAAATATTTTTTTAATTCTTCTTCATATACTTCTACTTATCGGATACATTTCTATATCAGAAGATTGTAGCAATCAAAGAAAGATACCAGTGTTGGACCAGTTGAAGAAGAAAAGGTTACCATTTAACCTAGTCCTGAAATGTTTTCTACAATGAAGGGCAGCTGACCTGAGTTTCTTGTGGCAAGGATCTTGGCTGCTTCCTTGGTCCTTTCTAGACGATGACGTTGGTCCTCCTGTCTCCTTGCTTCTACCTCACTCTCTGACAGGCAAATCACCATCACCTACAAAGGATGTAGAATCATCTCATAAATAATAAGAGCCCACATTTATATAGCACCTAATACATTGTTTCTAGGGGCAGTACATATTACCCCTGTCATCGGATTCAGGCTTATACCCACTCACAATGTATGCACATTTTCCTCTCTCTGGGGAGCATTCCGACCAGTCGCCATTTTACAAGCGCCACTTGCTCATGCAACCACATTAACTTTCGCATCCTACCGGGTACCCATTTAACACCTGGGTGGAGAGTGGCAAATGAAGATTAACGTCTTGTGAAAGGACATTAGTGCCACGGTGGGACTCGAACCCCGTATCTTGCAATCTGCAGTCGGGTGACTTATCCACTAGACCACATCACCTCTACATGGACAATATTGTACTGTAATCCTGGACTCCTTGGATATTCCTTCAAACACTTTGCGGGAGCACTATGGTCTGGTGTTTTATTCACTTCACTCCCGAGTCAAGAGGCTGAGGGTTTTAATCAATGCCCAATGCATTTGTTGTATATATATATATATATATATGTAAAACATCTCATCGACAACTGTCCCACTTTACATATTCACATGATATTAAAGCCGTCTGGTTGCTTACTTACAAGCATTTATGCTTTCTTAGCAGTCAGGTAAAATAACCACTACCATTCATTGTACAAATATAACCGCTATAAATATAAATATAAATATAAACGAGTACCTTGTTGAATTTAAATCTGGAAATGTGCTGTACACTGGCAGTGGTTGCCAGATCTTAAACACTGGGCTTACTGCTCTAATTTCCAAAGAACTTCAAAAGCACATAAATAGTGACTTTATATCATAATCTAATTCTTGATGTGCTTTCTAGAGTTAGAATGGTATATTGCATATCTCATTCTAATCAAAACACTTCACAAGATATTTTGTTTGATCACTTAAGCCAAGTTTACGGTCATATCCACATTTGCTGTCTCACATACACAGTATAGACTGTGTGAAAGATCACGTGTGTAAACTATTTTTACCTGTGATTGCTGGCCTAGTCCTAGTTCTTGAAGGGTTTTGGTATCATCCAAGACTTGACCGCAGCTGATCAGCTTGAGGTAATCCACACCAAGAGAAGTCTGCTGACTTATCCTACAGAGAGAGAGAGAGTGTGATACATACAATTTTTTTCTCATAAAATAATAATTCATAATAACTACTTTTACAGGGGGGGGGGGGGCCTACACCCTACAAGCTCTGCTTTTTAGTTGGCCCTCCCCCTTCCCTTTTCATTAAAAAAAAAAAAATGTTTTGTATTGTGCAAATTGATCTATATGTATATTTATATGCGAATAAGTAAAAATATACCATCATTGACTCATTGTAAATATGAAAAATTGAGAGAGGAAAAATAAATGAATTGAATTGAAACACATACAGACAACCACAAGCAAGAGACATACTTGGAGAAAATGAGATAGAAAGATGAATACAGAGATAAGGAGAGATGGAGACAGATAGAGAAAGGGGGGGGGGGTGGGTATTATGAATTATGAAAATAATAAATCTACATTTTGTCTTGGTCATCAGAGAAGTTCTTAGAAGCACAAAAACACACATTATTTACTATCCCCTTCTAGATTATTGAAGTCTGCAATGAATGACCTGAAAAGAATCTTTTTTTTAAAAGGATAATTCTGAAGTTGGGTGATCTAGGGAAATAGGGAAAGCACTTTTTTCTTAGCCAGCTTTTCTACTCTACCTCTGCTTAGAACATCTGTTTTAATCTTAAAAAAGGAAATATTTCTGTTCACTGTAGCACATTTTGGATTTGGTGTAATTGAAAAAGTGTCGTATTTTTGCCAGGATCTTCATATTTTTTTCTTTTTTAATTAGGAGGCCCCAAGAAGTGTATCTTGCAAGGCCATTGCCAACCTCTATAACCTTGATGTGTCCTAAAGCTGCAACATGCGACAACAAAAAAAGACCGTTGGTCCTCTTCCGTATACCTGGACAGCATTTCACAAAACCTTGATAAAACCTTGACAACCCATTAATTAAATCTAACACTTGTTTCAATGGGATGTCATGATACAATGCCGACAGTTCTTTAGATCATTTTTTTTAGCTACAGCAGTGCTCAATGCTTAAAACCGGGTAAAAAAAAAAATCTCTATTGGTCTGGTTTCAAACTTACATCTGTTTAAGAGCTGTGCTGCTAACATCAAGCTTTGTCTCCAGGTTGAATCCTGTTCTGCTAATGTTGGTAGGGATACTCCCTGTCAACTTGACCTTCAAACTGGTAATGCCATCTTCCTGGAACTTCTTACGAGCTGCTAGCTTGTCAACTGCATGCTGTCTGAGTTCTTCCAGAGTTGCGGTAACAATTTCCTTTGGGAGGTTTAAATTTGATGCCAATCTAGTTGTGAGGTCCTGAAGAGAAAGAATCAGAGAGAAACTGTGAAACATCTCAAATGAGGGAAGACTTGTTTACTTAATACAAGCTTAAAATTTAAGTTACGAGATAAAGACGACATATACTTTGATACATGGAAGGTTATACAAACTTAATAATTATAGGATGTAAGATATGGTTCACAGATAGATTTCACAACCACTTAAAACTGGCCTTATAATTTATTCATCACATGATTCTGATTCATTAGAATTGAAGGTTAAATAAGTTTAAAATCAACATGTATATTGAAGAAGCATTTCAAGATGTTCATTCCTGTAAGAAATGATAAAAGAGCATTGTCATACAGAACCCACATAATGGTTTTTACAAGTACAAGGTTTGGCATCTTACCTCTGGGGTTTCCCCTTTCTGTCCATTCTCTAATGTGTAAGGCTGGAGCCATAGCTTAATCTTGTCTGTATTCAGTTGCTTCCTGATAGTGTCTCTGATCTGGCCGTCTGTTGGACCTGCACCTGATGCCATTTCACTCTGAGGATAACTATTTTCTCAAGCAAGTAACTGTTGGTGAATGCATTCAGGCCAAGTACGAATTAATCAAACACACTCTGCTTGTCCTCTGTTACTACTACAGTGTCTACGTTACACAATAATGACAATAATTTTGCAATGAACCCTTTCAACATGTTCAAATGGATACTAGAAGTTAAAGTTAACATATCACTTATGGATACCAATCGTTTCGGGAAAACTTCCTTTTGCAACAGCCACCCAAATTGAAGAAAAAAAAATATTGGTTTAGCTTAGAATGATATATCTAGTAATAATATGATATATGAAACATGATAAAAAAGGGTTAGGGTTAGTGTAAGGGTTAGGTGACATAGTGAATGGCGCCATCTACGACACAGGAGATGTAGTCTGAAGTATCTATAGCTTTATATCACCGCCCAACTTCAACTCGTTTTTGCAGACTCATACATTGGTAGCGTGCTGTGCCGGAATGCAGACCAAAGCATCAGAACTTAAGGGCTTGAATTCACAAAGGACGTTCATTGACAAACCTAGGTTTATGTGCCTCATATGACGCCTTTCGATGCGTTTCAGCACACATAAACCTAGGTTTGTCGACAAACCTCCTTTGTACTAGCCTTAAGGGCTCTCTCGAAATGTATCATTAAAAAAACATTTCGAGAGAGCCCTTAAGGCTACTTTGTACAGGAATTCGGGCCAAGAAGTTTAAATCCACCCAGACTCTGAGCATGCAAGAGTATGAATAGATTGAAGGAGGAATGGAAGGAGAGAAGACAGAATGTTGGCTAGAGCTGTAATCAGTAATACTTATAGTAATTTCAGCTTCAGGTGGCTGTCGCAAAACTTCCAAAAAGAAATCTGTCCATAGCCACCTCATGCCATGGTTTCTTGTGAAAACAGACATAGAATCTAAGCCTCTATATTATATTCTGTTCAAAATTCCATTTCTTTTCCTTCTTATTTTTGTGTACACTCTATATATACTGTGTAGCCGACTATATATAATATAATGTAGATCTAAATCTAGATCTAAATTACTATTTAAAACAAGTAAAATCTAAAATTTAAATCAATGCCAAACCAGAAAGGCAAAAGGCAGAGCAGAAAAACTTGCAAAAGTTGCATTTGCAGTTCCTGTTTCACAATAGAATCTACATTTCAGAACAGAAAATGACAGGTGAATGATAAAATATATCGAAATTTAATTATGCAGTTGATGACTTACCTTTTTAAAGTATATTGCACATTAACAACGACTCAGTTTAGCTCAATTTATATATAAGTGGCAGCAGCTAGCAGCAGCAGCTCGTATACTGCTGTACTGTGTGGTTGCGTAATCACAACATCAATTTTGTTTGTCATTCGCCACGCTGAAATTTCGAGACAGAGCTCAGATTGTAAAGGTTATGGTAGCTGTAAGACGAAAATAAATTACACCCGAATAGCTACTTTATTGATATCCCGACGTGCATTACAGAAAGTAATATATGGTAATCACTAGACTGTTTGTGATTTGTGGGGGCATATACATTGTATAAAGATAACAGCATCACTCAGGCGTAGAGGGGCACGTGCACCCCATGTTGAATGGCAAAAAAAAAATAGAGGATAGAGCGGGGGAGGGGGGGGGGGTGGGGCTGAGTCATGAGGCGCGTACACAGGGGGGGGGGGGGGGGCGGGGCGGGGGGAGGGTGTTTCGGGGGTTAAACCCCCACTCAATTTTTTTTCTCGAAAAAAATTGATGCTCCTTAACCCCTCCACCCCCCCCCACTGAGCGAAATATCGGTCGGCGTGATTTTCAAATTTCGGGGGGGGGGGGGCAAAAAAGAAAAGAACAAAAATATTGCTCACTACCCCCCCCCCCCCCCCCCCCCCTACTGAGTATCGGTCGGCGCGATTTTCAATTTCAAAATCATATAAACCCCTCTCCAACAACCTATCGATCTATGGCCTTGGTTTCTCACATTTCATCTGATTAATATTTCTGATGCCCTGCATGAGTTCCCCCTCCATTACGCCAATGCCCATGCAACTGTTACATAGTGTATAGTTACATGACTTGTTCAAATGCTCCGTCAAGTGAGTTTTTCGATTAGGCAAAAAAAAAATTGTTTGGTTGTCCTCGATTGCTTTTCTGGAGTAGGGGCGGGCGGGCGGATTTTTTTTTTTTTTTTTTTTTCCCCCCATTTTTTTTTTTTAAATATTTTTTTTCCGTAAAAAAAAAAATCATTGGGATTGTCAAGCATTTAAACAAACAAAGCCTATAAAACATTTTAATATGGCAAAAGACTAGTTTCATGTACAATGAATATGACCAACACATATAATAAGTATAAATAAGTATGATTTACCGGGTTTTTTATTATAAAAGTGCATGCATGGCCGGGCAGTGACCTCAGTTAAACTGTTTGGTCCCATGTCCTGATCGGCTGAAGGGTAGATTAAAGACATTGCCTATATTAGTATTGATCCTTGACGTATTTTTCAATGCGGGGAGGTTGTACAGCCCCCCCCCCCCTCCCCCGGCCCTCTTCCCTTCCGAAACCTCCTCTGCATGGAGTAGGCCTATTTTGAATAGGCATATAGGGGGAACAGAAATAACCTCAAAGGGGAGGAGAAGATTAAGTATATTCCCTTCCTCTTTCCCGTTCATTCTGTGTTGTTTTCTCCTCTATTCCCTTTACCCATTTGTGGGGAAAGCATAATATACCCCTTCCCATAGCTACGTATTTGAGTACGTGTGTGTATATGATCAGGGGCGGTTCCAGGTTTTTCCAAGTGGCGTAACGGTACTAGCGTATAAGCGCGACGCCGGCGCGACGCCTTTACGGCGTGGGGTTTTAGGGGCCATTCAAGAGGGGTACGTGCACGTGCCAGGAAAATGTTTAACCTTTGAAGCTCTAGGTATATACATTCTGAGGTATCTCTGAATTCTCAAACTGAACATTATTTTATGCGATATCTCTCCCTCTTTTTTCTTATCTTTCATGGAGTCTCTCTCCCTCTAGCTCTATGCTGCTTAGAAAGAAAAAATTCGGACGGGAAAATCCACCCCTGAAAGATCCACCCCTGTAAACAGTGTGTCTATCATGTTACACCGCCCTAATTGAAGAAGTTATGTATAAAGCAGAAAATAGGCTTTCTAAAGTATCACAAAATATCGTGTCAGTGTCTTTAGCATGGACGTATACTATAGGTCCCATGGTTATAGGAAGAAGGGGGGGATACCTCCTTGAAGGGGGGGGGGGATATCTCCTTGCATACCTTAAATTTGTTTTATACGACAGCTAATATCATGTTCTCAAGTAATATTGTATGTTAAAAATGACCCTTTAAAATGATGTATAAATTATTGTCTTTGTTTATGAGCAGGTATAAATAGGATAAGAGATCTATAGGGGTTAGGGGGCTGCAAACACCCACTGCCCTCTGGATCCAGAATTTGGAATAATTCCAAATATTTAGGCAACTACGTACACCTCATTTCCATATCCCAGTTATCCGATGACCCCCCCACCATGTAGCCCTACTAACACACAGTATAGTTAGTGCTACTCGGTGAATATATTTTTCGTTTAATCAGAAGACATAATGTTTGTTAAGTGTCCGCAGGTGCGGATCCAGGATTTCTTAGGGGAGGGGGCCCAACTTTTTTTTTTTTTGCTCCCGAAAATTTGAAAATCGCGCCGGCCGAAAAGTCGCTCAGTGGGGGGGGGGGGGGGGGGGGGGGGGGGGGGGGGGTACAGAGCACAATTTTTTTTTTTTTTTTTTTTTTTTTTTTTTTTGCTCCCGAAAATTTGAAAAACGCGCCGGCCAAAAATTCGTTCAGTGGGGGGGGGGGGGGGGGGGGGGGGGGGGGGGGGGGGGGGGGGTAGTGAGCACATTTTTTTTTTTTTTGATCCTCAAAAAAATTTCGATTTGCACCCCCCCCTTGAGCGCCAGGGGGGGGGGCCCAACCCCAAAAAAAGGTAAAAAATCACGTGATTTTACATGATTTTTTTCTCAAGGGGGGGGGGCCTGGGCCCCCCGGGCCCCCCCCCCTGGATCCGCCACTGAGTGTCCGAATACCAAGCCCCCATCATAAATTGAAATTTAATTTAAAATTCATGTACCGGTATAGAGTAAAGTACCCGGTTTTCGGCCACTTAAGACAAAATCCTATTTATTGGACTCTTTACTTCCTATTTATTATCATTTCTTGTTCAAATCATGAAGCAAATATTATTATTATTTAAACAAAAAAAGAATCCCAAAAAAAATCACGAATTGCCATGACAATATTCATTTCAATTTTCACTGTTTGGAGCCGGTTATCGGCCGAGCGTTTCAGTTTACGGCCGCATGTACAAAGTCAATAGGAAGCGCTCGCGCGCGCCGTGCGTTTCTGCGCTGATGTCTAGCACAAGCGGGCGGAGCAGGTATCCCACGCCGGAGCTCCCGGGTGCTCGCCTGGCCGAATACAGGCACAGCGGTGATCGGAAGTTGGAATCTGAATTAGACAGACATATCGTGTGTGCGTCGCGGTGTGCGGCTGCATTGATTTAATACATGCGATGAGATACTTTTGAGCTTGCGACCAGCACAAAATCGGGCTCTATATCTGAAAAATACTTGAAATAAAGCTCATTTTATGGTACCCATATTTCTTACATACACGCGTAAGAAACTCGATTTTCAGATTTGGGTAGCGGGACCGCCGATTACATCGCTAAAATGTGATATTTTAGGATATATTTTCATTGCAAATGTGGTTCTTCAGTGACACTGGCATGGTATGGTATGTGTGGGATATGTGTTATGCTATTATGCGATGTATTTTAAAGTGATTTTACCATGTATCCAACCAATTGGCCGAAAACCGGAGCTGACCGATTACCGGGTACTTTACTCTAGGCCTAATATACTAATAATACCCCCCCCCCCCCTCTCACCACCAGCTCCAAATAACCCCGAGGATAAATATTCCCCTGGAAAACTTCCTGAAAACGTTTTTAAAATGCTATCCTTTCTCTATGATTTTGTATTTAAACCATACCCGATAGCTTCTTGCGTGGCTCAATTTTTTTTTTCTAGTATATTTTATCTAGGCACCATACCGTAGTAAAGAAAACAAGAAAATGTTCACTTACTTCAGTTGTTATTTATTTACACTGTCAGCTGACTGATCGGGTTTGTTCACCGATCCGCGATCGACTAGGAAATGTGAGTTAAAATAATGTGTCATGTTGTGTTTCCAGCAAATTTTCTGTGATGAATTCAGTGTATGTGTTTCTAGCTATAGTAAAAGTAAATAGTTCTGACAAATAATCATTGAATAATCCATTTGCTGCGTGATTTTGCACCGGTCGACCGATCATTGCGTGCACGTGCAGAACTACTGAGGTGCGAGCGCGAGATCCCGTGCGCCCGAGGTTGAGCGCTAGCGGCCTGTGCGGAGGTGGGGCTTGAGTATGTAGAGGCGTTTCCGGGTCTTCTTCTCCTTGACCTAGGCCTTGGCTTTTAGTTTTATGTCGACATTAGACACACAAGTGTTTAGTGTAGCAAAAAATGATGCAATCATCAGCTTCTCTCTTCTTTATAATTATAATTCATAATTATGTGCTCTCAGTGAGTCTCACCATAGCAGGGGCGCTGGTCCTCTAAAATATGGATCGTCTGCATTTTCGCAGATGTTTCATATTTTTGATCGGCACGTTGGCAATGCGAAAATAAATTCTGCAATGATTTACTTGATGCATTTTACATTGACTTTGTACAGACTTTCACATTATAAGCGATAAATCCTCGGGAAGATGGACAACCTTTAAGTAGACGATGAACTAGTCTACGGTCTAGGGACAGGGTATTTTAATACAGTTTAAATAACGGTCTGCACGATTTTACTGCATGCGCAAAATCCATGCATATTTCACAAGGCAACTGAGCTGATTGTATTATTATTTTTTTTTTGTAGATCATGTGGAAGAATTTAAACCTGGATTTGAGGATATTGATGCAGGTTTAAAACCAACAACATGGCAGCACCTTCAAGAAGAGAGCTTACAGAGAGTAATCTAACGTTGTTCCCAACTCCCCCTAGCGACGATAACACACAGACATCAAGATTCTCAATTACAGGCTGGTTCCGCAAGGGAAAAGGTAATTGATTAAGCACTGTGATAAAAAAATTAAAAACTTAATATTCAGTCTAAGAGGCTGCTCGATAACCAGTTTAATTTATGTAATTTATTGTTAGAAGACATTATGGCAAAAGGAAAACGATAAAGTTCTGTTTCAATTTCATTTCAATAACCTGAGAACAGGAAGAGGAGAAATAAGCAAGAGAGGGAGAGAGAGAGAGACAAAAAGACAGACAAAGTATATATGGGGAGGATAGAGAGTAAAGACAGATGCAGAGAGAGAGAGAGAGTGAGATAGATGGAGGGAAAGAGAGAGAGAGAGAGAAAGGGGGAGGGAGGAGGGGAGGGAGGGAGACAGAGAACAAAAAATCCAAATACAAAGTATATATGGGTAGGGAAGAGAGTAAAGATATGATGCAGAGAGAGAGAGGGAGGGAGACAAAGAGAAAGAAAGAAACAGAGAAAAAAGTATATGTGGGGAGGGAAGAGAGTAAAGACAAATGCAGAGCAAGAGAGAAAGAGAGTGATAGATGGATGGAGAGAGAGAGAGAGAGAGAGAGAGGGAGGGGGGTGGAGACAAAGAGAGTAAAAGTATATATGGGTAGGGAAGAAAGTAAAGGAAGATGCAGAGAGAAGGGGGGGGGGAATAAAACTTGATGTTGATCTTTTTATTTACATAGTAATTTGTAAGTAATTTAAAACGGCCTAGAAAAATAAAGTTATTATATATATATATATATATATATATATATATATAAATGAAAGTGTAAGTTTCCAAAGTGAAACTACGTATATAGAAATATTATATTTAATATTTCCAATTCAAGATGAGATATATCATCATTGCTGTGACTTCCTCTTTAATTTGCAAGCGAATATAATATACCAAATGGAAAGACATATCTTGTAGTATACATACATAATTCCAGATTCTTGCACATCTTTTTCAGTTTTTCATGCTCATTTTGAGGAATATATACCGGTAGGCTAAATGGAAATCTGCCCTGACATATCTAATAATATCTCTCTTGAGATGGACGTGTTTTTCGCGAGCTCCTGAAAAATGCACTTTTCTGCAGCCAAATAATGGACTCAAGGAAACTTTTTATACCAAACTGACGACGAAAGGACAGTGGTGAGATTTGTGTAATTCATTTTTCACAAATTTTTAGACTTTTAAAGATTTAGGCCATTTTATACTGTTATTTTGGTCAATTTTTAAATATTTATTTTCTTGATTTTTGAACATTAAGCGCAATATAAACACTTTACGCAGAATTCATCTTGGATACAGCGCAAGTGAGCGCAAAGATACAACGCAAGTGTGCGCTAGTGAGTTATCTCAGTATATTACGCACTGATGTTAACGCAGTACTTTTCAGCAAACAGGTGAACAATTATTTTAAATGACGTCACAATGACCATCGTTAACGTAAGAAGTCTCCGTGTGAAGGAACTCAAAGCTGAACTGCAGAAACGTGGTCTAAATAAAAATGGTGTAAAAGAAACTTTGGTTAATAGGCTGCAAAGTGCAATCAATGACAATATCCATCAAGCGAGTAATGACAAAAGAAATCAGGAGACGAATACTGAGCAAGCTGATCTCTATGACCTATTCAATCTAGTTTTGTCGTCAGTTAATGAACTAGCCGACAGGCTTATCCATCTTGAAGCTAAGTTCGATAGTGCTGATCTGGTAAAGGAGAAAACAGATCTCAATGAGATAGTGGGAACTATCTCAAGAGTTGTTTATACCGTCCCGACGAAGAATAGGTTCGATGTCCTTGCGGATAATCATGTCACTGACGCTGAGCCTGCTACTTCGATGTCGACTAGTGACCAGATGGAAGAGTACCGAGATGGGCATCGCCAGCGCCGCTTATCTGAGCTACATGAATCTGTCCTTGAAGGCACAGACGTCGAGCCTCCTACTCCGATGTCGTGGAGCGACCAGATGAAACAGTACCGAGATGGGCATCGCCAGCGCCGCCTGTTGGAGGTACCTGCTGCTGTTTTCGAAGGCACTGACGCAAAGCCTTCGACTTCGATGTCGACGAGCGACCAAACCAATGAGTTCCGACAAGGGCATCGCCAACGCCGCTTGTCTGAGCTACCAGATGTTGTCATCGAAGGCGACTCGATGATCAAGCACATCGAGGGCCGACTCCTGAGCCGAAAACATAGAGTAGTCTGCCATCCGAACCCAGGGGCAACGGTGGCTGATATCTCCTCTAAGAAGGCTACTGAGGGTGTAAAGGCGAAAGGAGACGTCATTCTACATGTCGGGTCAAATGACTTGTCGAAAGGTAATGGTAGTACATCAACCGCCAATGACATCATAGCATTAGCAGACGTGATTGCAGCGAAAGGCTGTGATGTATGCTTGTCTGGTGTTATACACCGCAGATGGGAATCGGTTCACCAGAGGCGTAGTGTCGATGGGGTTAATGGGCGATTGAGAAGAGCTGCCCGTGAAAGGAGATGGGGTTTCGTTGGCAACGACAACATAGGTGACAGGCACCTTGGCAGAGATGGGGTCCACATCAATAAGGCAGGACAAGCTGTTCTTGCCTCTAATCTACGCCACTTTATTGAGCGACCTCGAGGGCCACCTACACCTACTCAGCAAACGTCCTACGCTGAAGTTGTTGGATCTTCAACGCAGGATTTCGAGATGATTGCTCCGAGAGGGAGGCTAAAGTCTGCACCTGCTCTTCCAATGTTTCCACTGACAAAAGCTCAACAGGGGTGGAACGAGCATCTACGTCTCGTCATGGCAACATGCAGTTAAACTCTGTCTCTGGTACTGGCATACTACATCATAATCTTCAGGATCAATCTCATGAACTGAATAAGAGTAACATTAAACAGTTGGAAGGTGGTTCAGTTCCTCCGTTTAGAAACAGGGGCTTAAAATTTGCCCATTTGAATATTCATAGCTTAGTTGCTAAGATTGACGAACTTAGATTACTTCTGAGAAATGCATCATTTGATGTTATTGGTTTAAATGAAACATTTTGCGACTCCATGATTGATGATTCTGAATTGTATATAGATGATTATATTTTATTGCGTAGAGACCGTACGAGACATGGTGGTGGTGTGGCTGTATATATATCCAAGAGGTTCAATTATAAAAGAAGGGATGATTTGATTTCTTCTACTTTAGAATGCCTTTGGTTTGAATTGCATTATCCAAATAAGTCTCCCATCCTGGTTGGAGAGTTTTACAGACCTCCAAATTCTCACGTTGATTTCTTTGAAGAATTAGACGGAAACTTGGACTCTGCTCTCTCGGAAGATATGAGCTGTATTATTTTAGGTGATTTCAATTGTGATTGTATGCCACACCAACTTGATCTGAATGCTGAAAAGTTAATGTTTTATACAAATATGTACGGGTTAAGTCAGCTAATTGATACTGCCACAAGAGTTACAAATACCTCTTCTACTTTAATTGATTTGATATTTGTATCAGACAAGGAACTTTACAATGAATGGGGAATATTTGAAACTAGCATAAGTGATCATTATTTGGTGTATACGGTTCGCGATTTTAGTGCAAAGATCCATAACAAATCCGAATACGCAGAATTTCGCTCGTTTAAAAATCTTGACGAGGAGAAATTTTACAGTGAATTGAGAAGTACTCCTTGGCAGGTCATAAAAGATATAGATAATGTTGATGTTGCATGGGATATGTGGTTGACTCTATTCAATAATATAATCAACAAGCACATACCAGTATGTAAAAAGCGGATAAGAAAAAAGGCATGTCCATGGATATCTGACGAGATTGTTAAGCTTATGACGGAACGTGATAAAGTTCACAAAGCTGCTAAAGCTAACAAAAGTGATGATCTTTGGGACACCTACAAATATCTAAAGAATACAGTTATTCATCTCATGAGGAAAAGAAAAAGAGAATATAATGCAGACCAGATCTCGCAAAATCATAACAATAGTAAGCAAATGTGGAGATGTTTGAGAAACCTTGTGCCTAAGTCATTACCTATATCTCCCAATAGCATAAATGTTGATGGTGCTAATGTGTCAGACAATGCAAATATTGCTGAAGCTTTTAATGACTTTTTCATTTCTAATGCTACTAAGATTACAAAGGACCTGCGAAGGAATAAGTCTCAACTGAGAGTAGACGAGGACAATAATATTGGTCCAACTCATTCGCAATTTAATTTGAATTTGATTACTGAGGATTTTGTATTGAAACAGATTGATAATCTGAGTATAGATAAAGCAACTGGTGAAGATCACATCAGCTGTAAACTTTTAAAGATGACGAAGAATGTTATCGCAGAGTCTCTTTGTGATATCATTAACAAATCCCTGTCTACAGGAGTTGTTCCACGTGAATGGAAAAAGGCTCGGGTAGTACCAATATTCAAATCTGGAGATATTTCTTCTTTGAATAATTACCGTCCCATTTCGATATTACCTATCGTGAGTAAAATTATAGAAAGGGCCGTCCACCAACAACTCAGTGAATTCTTGGACGTGAATAAATTATTACACCCTAATCAGTCTGGTTTTAGACCTAAACATTCAACAGCTACTGCCCTTGCAAAACTTGTAAATCAATGGTCGTTGAATATTGATAACAAAGAAATTTCTGGAGTTGCCTTCATAGATCTTCGTAAGGCTTTTGATACTGTTGACCATGAGCTACTTCTACATAAACTAGCTTGTATAGGTTGTAGTAATAGGACTATTTATTGGTTCAAATCATATTTAGGGGATCGACAACAAGTGACCCAATTCAAAGGAGCCAAGTCGCATCCATCAACCATCAAATTAGGTGTGCCACAAGGTTCAATTCTTGGTCCCTTTTATTTTCAATATATGTTAATAGTCTACCTGAATGTACTCCTGAAGGTATCATAGATATGTATGCTGACGATACGACACTTACCGTCAGTGCAAATGATGCAACTGTTGTGGAAGAAAAATTAACTGTTGCGTTAAACAGAGTCATGGCATGGATTAAGGAAAATCGTCTTGTTCTTAACACTGAAAAAACTTGTGTCATGTTAATAGGCTCTCCTGCTAATCTCAAGAAAATTGAATCTTTCACCATTTCATTAAACGGCAATTTGATCAAAAGAGTTCAATTCACCAAATGCCTAGGACTTTTGATAGATGAAGAATTGAAATGGTCTAAACAAATCGAAAACGTAAGTAAACTTACCCAGAAAAACATTAGCATGATAAAGAGAGCAAAGAGTTTTTTGCCTCAAAAATCCTTAAAGTTACTTTATAACAGTCTAGTGTTGCCACGATTAGATTACTGCTCTGTTGTATGGTCGAACCGATTTCATTCTCATACAACTAAGCTGCAAAAAATTCAAAAGAGGGCCGCAAGAATAATATTGAACAAGACATATGACACACCGTCGGCTGATTTGTTCACAAGTCTTAAATGGATGACACTAGACAAGCGGTTTGAGTTAAGTCGCGTTATGATGATATATAAATGCGTTCAGCACCCTCTTACCTTCAGGTAGGCTTAATCAATCCTAATGATGTACATGAGCATCATACAAGGCAAATAGACAGTGGATGTTTACGTGTGCCTAGATTTCACACTGATTGTTATAAGTGTAGCCCAATTGTTTCTTCCATATTTGAATGGAATAAGCTAGATAATTCGTTGAGAACGGCTTCCTCTGTCAATTCATTTAAGAGATTGTTTAAACAAAGTTGTAATTTGTGAATGGCTCAGCCGTACATACACTACGTGCATGTTCTGTAATATTTACATGTCTTATTCACATAATTGCGACTTAATTAATATTTTCCTATTGACATTACTGCTTACTAGGTTAATGATATATGTTAATTTTGCAAACGAGTATTATTTTTGTAACTGTTCTGTATAAATGTTATAAACGATGTAAATATGTTCATTCAGGGCCCCATGGAAGACCACTACTTGCTGGTGAATGGGCTACCCTGTCAAAAGATCAGAAATAAATAAATAAAAAATAAATAAATTGAATTTTAGAAAGCCAAAAAGTCAGAGAAACTTGTCATTGATAGTTTGAGAATAATCAGAAGGAAACAGCTTACTGAATTTTGAGGTTTTAAAAATCGCAACACAGATTTACCACACAACAATTCCCTTGGTGAGCATCTCTTAATTTATTTTACATAAAAACTTTTGAAATACATCAACATCGAGATTGATTGTTATTTTATTACTGCTTCACCTATAAGAACATGTTTCCAATGATTTATCTCTAGGCTTAGGATTGAGAAAAACGTTTCTCAAGATAAAATAGAAATTAAGGAAATCTTCAATACAGAATGAAAGTAATGTACCTTGCAACGGAAATAATTTAGTTGCCACTTTGCGTATTAACATAACATATTCTACTTTGGGTTTTTCTCAAACTTAGACAGTCTGATTTCTGTCATTCAGTTGCTGTATTAAAATCAAGTTGACATCAGGGTGAACTCCCCTTTTGAAATAATTTTTTTTGTTGCAGATTCTCAAGCAGCTGCAGCTCCAAAGTCCGGTGAGAAACATGGCGACAGGAGACCCAAGGACCTACCGATCAGGAAATCAGTGCTAGAACATAAACAAGAAGAAGAAGATCTAGAGGCTGAAAGAGAGGAGCCCGTTAGTACTGATAGGAGATCATCGGATGGTAGACTAAGACCTGAGGGTCTAAGTAGAGGTGTGTATTGCTTCTAAGAACTGAAATGTATTTGATATTATTATTAAACCTGTAGCTAATAGAATCTTGCCAGGAGCCAAGGATGTGAATTTTCACCTTTGATTTGCTTGCTTGAGGAGAGAAGGCTTGCAACTGCAAATGCAAATTGGTTGTATCTTGCTATCTATCAAATTAAGATTTCTTGTGAAAAGCTTTTTGGTGCTTTCAAAAACTAATGGCTGGTCACGTGTCTCTGATAAAATTAACAATAAAAATTAATTGATCTGATAGACAATCAAAAATGGGTACTGGTATTGGATATTTAATTATCAGTGCTGAAGGCCTTTTTAGCATAAATCATTGAGCAACAAGGAGATTCAACAGCTTTTTACATCCATACAGATTTTGTCGTTATCAATTTTATTGTCGTTGATGCATGTACATGTATGTGACAACCACTTTATAACTGGGCTTCAAACGAATAATTTTTCGTCTGGTCATCTGTGTTTTCACCTTTCATACCCATGTCTTGATAGGTCTGCTTCCCAGAAGCCTGTCTCCGCTGGTCAACAGTGGGTCAAGGAGGGATTCTGAGCAGTCATTGTCCAAGTCCAGAGGATTCGAGGCCAGCGCGTCAGGGCCAGTGGTCAATTATACACGGAGCTTGACCACCGTCTTAAAGCATCTCAGTAGTTTGATTGAGAGGAAGGGCCAGGTAAGGAGTAGATTCTTTGATTGGGGGGGGGGGGGGGGGGCTGTAAACTACTTACCGAGTATTCATAGTTTGTATTCTTGAATTTTGGACCAGGTTTGCTCCCTGCCCAAGGGATAAACTGTGTCTAAAATCATACATTTTGTTATTTAAACATTGCGAAAAAAGTCTTGGGTTACGATGTACAATGATGTCTTTCTTGAAAGATATTATAAGTTTAAACTGTAAAGAAAATATTGTGGTTTAAAAATCAATTATGTGCACAAGTTCTGTTATGTAAGTAACATTTCAGAATTACTTCATTCCTTAGAGAGCTTTAGTTCCCTTGACATCCCACTGAATTGTCCTCAAACTTAAGAATATGCGACCCACAGTTTGCTTATCTGTGTGTTCTTTTCTCTATTAATCATATTATAAGTAAAAAACTAACCAGATGAACTGATTTTTTTAAATTTTTGCTTTGGACAGGATCCAACCACCTACTCAGACAGTAGTCTTCGCCAATACTGGATGCCAGATAGTCAATGTAAAGAGTGCTATGACTGTGGGGAAAAGTTCACCACGTTTAGACGGCGCCACCACTGTCGAGTGTGTGGACAGATCTTCTGCAGACGCTGTTGCAATCAGGAAGTTTCAGGGAAGTTCATAGGATTCATTGGTAAGAGAAATCAAACTCTTGTCACCTTCTACTACTTCTTGTACATGTACATGTATGTTCTGCTCATAAATAGGTTTATGTTTCCAAAACTCTCACCCCCTCCTGGAAAAAAAAAAGAAAAAAAACTTCTTGTATAACATTTTTGAAGCTTTAGATTTTAAACTGTAGTGTGCCTACATCAAAAAATGAAATTACTTCTCAAGGATCCTTGATTCAGAATGAGTAGCTGTTGTACCCTACTCCATATTACAGAAAGGCAAATACATGTAGGAACTGAAGTTGAACATCAACACTTTATTCAAAAGCCATGATGGAACTCTTCAAGCTACTTTGCTCGTCACATGTATGCATTAGTCTCGATCCAGACTTTGTAAATAACACAGAACACAACAGTAGCCTATAACAGAGTACTCTCTGCACCATAACTTGAGACTGGATGAGGCATTGTTTTACCCAATGAACAGGAGTACCCCTTTATCAGTTACCCGATTATGCAGAGACTGCTGTATTTCCCTTCATTGGTTCAGAATGTATTTTGTCTCGTAAATGCACCAAGCACCATCCTGATTAAGCACAATGTTGATTCACTTAGACATCATGTTTTGATGTTCAGTTTGCTTAACTTTGGACAACTGAAATGCAAAATAATAATAATAATAATAGTGGGTTCTTGTATAGCGCTCATGTCAGTCAGATTTGACCCTCCTGGCGCTCCCAATTATTACCCTGGCTTTAGCACGGCTGCCATACGGCGCTCTAGCATTTCAAGGAATAAATTCCTACCAGGTACCCATTTACTTCACATGGGTGGAGTGTGGCAAATGTAGATCAATGTCTTGCCAAAGGACATTAGTGCAGCGGCGGGACTCGAACCGCGAAATGTGGTTGAAGTGCTTCTCCAGACATCAATATTACTCAATACAAATGTGGCTAATGTCTGTGGAGTTCCCTGTCTTACATGTTCGTTATTGGAGTATAAAGGCTGCCTTTTCAGTTGTGCATGCCCCAGGATTTATGCCATACTGCCAATTCTGTAAGTGCCCTTGATCAGTTACGTTTTGAGTGGTACGCTGCCATATAAGGAACAGTTGGGAGTAAAAGGAAATATTGCTATTATTTCTTGCTATTTTTTTCAGGAAACCTACGGGTATGTACCTACTGTTGCAAGGTAGTGCTCAGCTACGCCCAGTCGGCTTATACCGGTGATTTCAAGGCACTTCAAGAGGATCTGATGAACGTTACCGAGGCAACCACACCCACCACAGAGGATGGTGTGATGACACCGAGGAAGAAGTTTCTAGGATTTATGGACGAAGATATGAGAAGAACAAGGTGATCATCAGGGCGTTGCTTCATAAAACCATCACCAGTTCAAGTTTGCTGACATCCCGTTGAAATGCCTGTACTACATATAACACGCATTTCAATGGGATGTCGGCAAACTTGAACTGATGATTTATTTTAACAGGGTAACTCTCTCAGCATTAAAACTGTTTTCCTGAGAGGCCCTGTAGAAATCATAGGTTATAAATAAAGAGGAAATTGAACAAAATTTTAATATGTACCTATCATATCATGGATTATTTGTTTTATTTTTTCGGTTTTGTACACCAAGATATCAACACCACAAAATAGATACTTGACCAGCTTATACAATACGATACATGTCCCTTCAAATGGATTAACAGAAATTAAAGCGATGTCTTGTTTATTTCTGTTTGTCTTTTCTTTAGTCGAGCTATGAGTGTTGGGAGTGTGGATGTTCCATCATCTTCTAATCTCTTTGAAGTCTTCCCGGGTCTGACTAATTCAACAGATTCACAAGTTTCCACAGTTGAAAATAAAAAGCTGTTGGTAAGTACTCGTTTGTAAGAGGGGGAAATCCACCATTTAAGAAAAGTTAGAGAAACATGTCAGTGAAGTTTGCACTATTTGTGTAAGTGTAGGGGGAAACCTTGTTGTAATAGTCCACCAGCACACCCCAAATAAGTTATACCGGACGGAGAAACCTGAGGGTTACCGTGATTTAGTTCACTTTTCCTCTCCTAGTTACAAGTACTGCAAAATGAATAAATATAATGAAAATAATGATCTTGAAAATAATTTTATTCCTTAAAGTATACAATTTTTTGACTTTTTTCCTTTGTATTTTTTTTTTTCTCTGATCAGAATTCAGCGCAGCTTCGAGATCTGTGGGTCCTGATAAAGAATCCCAACAACGGAATAATGTTTCAGAATCACCGCTATCGCCTACGCACATACACTGATTGTATCATTGGAAGCGAGCTTGTGGACTGGCTCATTCAGAAAGACAAGGCTGCTCAGAGGTGAGATCGGATCTCATGTCAAATCCAAAAAAAGAGTGAATGTATTATTGATACATTCACAGACCTGCCAACCAGTACGATTTAGTCGTTTTAGTATGATTTTTAGAAGCAAATACGACAGTACGATTTTCCTTAATAAAATACGATTTTCAAAAAAAAAAAAAAAAAAAAACAATTTTTTTTTTTTTTTTTTTTTTTTTTTAATATTATTTTTTTAATCAATATTTTGTGTGTGCGTCGGCCATTTTCAATAGCAAAATGTCCATTCTGTCCTGTAAAGTATCCTACAAGCATCTCACATCAGCAATTTGGGGATGTTCATTGGTTCATTGAACACACCAGTCATGACGAAATCATGCATATTCAACCAATGATCAATAAAAAAAATCCTTCCTGTAGGTAGAAACTGTAAGAGGCATTGATCCGCGTAACAATCCGTGTTTATTTTCAAGAATACAACTTTTGTCAGTAAAATACAACTTTTGGGACTACTGAATACAGTTTTTGAACACCAGAGGTTGGCAGGTCTGCATTCACTCTTCAAGTCTTGTTCATTCTTTCATTCAGGTTTTCTTATTGCATAAAAAAACATTGAAAATATGGAATGTAGTCTGAAGGCTAATGATATCATGTATACAATATATAACGGATAACATAAGTAAACAAAAACATAAAAGCCTTGAATACAAGGTAGATGAACATAATGAAACAACTTGTAAACTATGCATTGGATTGGTGAATAGTAAAGAATCCTATTGCACAATGTAAACAAAGCAAAAGTTAGAAATAGGCCAAACAAAACATATTATTGTAGAAATGGTTTAAAAGTAAGGGTGTATGAAGATTAAAGGGGAGGCCTTGATGGAATTTGAATCAGGTTTGAAGGATCTAGTTGAACTACTTGTTCTACACCACATGCTCCGGCGACAACTAATCTGTGGTCAATTTCCTACACTAAACACGTTCCTTCTTTCACCCCTTGACCCCTTGTGGGGAGGAGATGATGTAGACATGCTTGTTACTGCAGACAGTCAGTTGACCACTTCACATAGTGTGATTGTACATTGTTATCTGCTGTGTTTTATCAGAGTACAAGCTGTTGCCATCGGCAAGGCCTTGCTGGATGCGAAATGGATCAAGTGTGTGACATCATCCTATGAGGAGGGCTTCGTGGATGGATACGCTCTCTACACCCAAGGAGAGGTAATCACCACCCGTACAAAGTTCTCAATTTAACCTTGAATAGGGCGATTCCGTGCAATGTGTCCCCTATGACATATGTCTCTTTTCCTCATTTTTCATCCCAAAACTAAAGAATCTTTTGATATGACCATTGAATAATGGCGCTTTCTGGTATCACTATTATTATTCATATTCACCATTTACTGGCATTTGTCTCTCAAGGGACTTACAAATCAAGGTCACAAATCTGCAGAATTTACATTTGTTGATAGTTCATTATTGAAGGAAAAAATATCATCTAAAAATCATAATGGTGCAAGCAAACAGTGGCATGCATGGCCTGCCGTTGTTAAGTCCAACTTAAAGTCGATCTTAGTCTTTGTTAAACTCTCCCCTGGGCTCTTTGTATTTCTGTGTCCTTGGTTCTCTGTGGTTTTTCACCATTTTCACTGTTTCACCATGTCTCCTGTGCCTCCCTCTCTGTTTCTCCCTCAGTTAGCCGAGAGCCAGAACTTGCCAGCCCAACTGGGCATCGAGGAGGAGAACCTTGCCTATGGAGAGTTCATGGAGCCAGTCTGGTTCAGAGAAATACGTCAAGATGATGACCTCAACTCAGAAGATGACCTTCTAGGTAGGTTCAAGCATGATAGGACCCTGAAAAAGAATCCGGACCCAACAGAAAAACCTCCAATATGGACAATAAGTACTGTACTATATTGTACTGTACTGATAACAACTACAGTTTGAAAGTTAAAAGAAACTTTCTCTTGATGTATAATAATGGTTGCGATTATGAGTTATTTTGTTGTTTTACTCACTAAAACTACCATCAAGGTTTACAAATACCGTATATGTCATAACAAATCTCTCCAAGAGGTTGATAAGCAAAACTGAATGGTTGGTAGGAATCATCCTTAGGCAAGGGAGATTTAAAGTTGTTCAAATGGGGGTATGTACCCCCAAGGTGGCTAGGGAGCAGCCTTCAATATCTATCATCCAAACAGCAATGCGAGCACAGCAAACTTAATAATGTGTGCATACGCGACCCTGAAAACTGTCGAAAAATGGTTTTAAAAACTGTTCCTTTCGGAACAAGGATATCTCTTTGAAATGCCTGGTGACCCTCTTTTTTGTTTTGTTTACCTCGTCATATCTGAACGAGTCTTTACGGTAATAGAAACAAAATTCCCTTCTTAATTGTCAGTTAGTATGATCTTATGAAGCATTGCATTAAAAGGACTTGGTAACATTGTTCAGATTAGAGAAAATGGTGCTAAGGTAGTGACTTTGTGGATGTACAATCAAAGATAATCTGAAAGTTTGAGTGAAAACGGGTCATTATGAAAATTGGGAAAAGCTGATTTGATCGATTCCCTAATTCTCCCAACTATATTATAACAATTAAATTACATTTTAGGTGAATTTAAATCGTCACAAATCAATGTATTGGCTCTTCATACTATTCCAGACTTTTAATTGTTAAAAGATTTTTAAAAGCCTGTCTTATGTCTTATTTTCATGGAAACACGGTTGGGAAAATTCAAAAGTGGTTCAGAGAAGTTACTGTTAGAGGGTGTTGCACAGTGACGCCTTCAAAGAAAACCATAAATATCTTTGTGGTTTGAGAATTTTTTCAGGATTTTGTGCATGTTAGAGGGTTAGTACAGTAGAAAGAATATAATAAGTAACATTTCATACAAAATTTACGCAGTCTTTTCATCAACCTTCAAAAATGTTAATGAGTCACTTTAACATGTCATTCATAGTGATGCTTTCATGCCTCCATTTCTAACCTCAGACCGCAAATCAATGAATGAAGCAGTCATCATCAGCCTTCCAGATTCCTCGTCTTCGATGGACCAACCAACGGAGGAGCAAGATGGAGAGGTTTCCTCTCGTCAAAAATACAATTCCTCCCCTATACCCACCTTCAAATTGGAGTTAGATACAGGTCCTTATAAATCAAGTCTTGTTTCTGTGTGCAGCATGTTTGTGATTTAAATAACTTTCTTCTTGCTGGGCACTTCCAATAATAGGATTCAATAAACATGATCGCAAGGTTCTACTGCACATGGTTGCATGACAATTGCACTGATGTCAATTTGCTACTTTACTTGATTTTCTACCTCCTTGTACAACCGTAGACCAAACGCTTACCCACCCTAACCCTAATCCTAATCCAGGCCCTGACCCTAACCTTCTAATTTTGATGAAGGCAAATGCTGCCAGAGCAAATGTCAAATTACACCCCCCCCCCCCCCCCCCCCCCCCCCCCACTCCGAGAACGGACGGACCCCATGCGTGTTACCAAAATGTCCTTTTCGTAACAAAAGAAATAGGTCGACCCGTATTGACTTTACACACCGGACTTTTGCTGAAAAAGGGGGGGTCGCTTGGAACACGCATATGCATACCCTAAATAACACTGAATGGGGGCGGGGGGGGGGGGGGGTGGGATTACACCTTTCACAAACTGTCTATAGAAACCACCTATTAAAGGGAAACACGAAAAGTGGTCTTTGTAGACAGCTAGGTTCCTTTAGTACATGTTTCAATGAGAAACCATTTTCAAGGGAAACAAAACATGTGGTCTTTGTAGACAGGTGGTCACTAAGGCAGGTTTGACTGTATTAGTTAGTATTTAGCATCATACTGCTGCAACCTGCTGAAACATATTCCATGGCCCTGTTTACATATGGTTTCATTTTCACTGTGATTTGCATTTGGCTGTAACCTTTTGTAAATCCAGGAAATGTGGTCGTCTAATGATCTGTGAAGCATGTTTACGTGCATCATGAGCATGTTTTCTGAATATCTCTATTGTCTTGTCTTATTTCATCTGGTGGTATGCCTGTACACAGATTAATCTCAATTGGGAACACATCTCCTTGACTCGGTGTTATGTAGTTTGGCAGTTTGCTGTGATTTTGTGCACCACGCATGATTGCTGTTATTTCTTTCTTTCTTCCTTTGCCTTGTTGGTGCTTGCAGTGATGCTATTCTGTTCATTTTCCTGTGCACACTATACTAACTCCTCCCTTATAAGATAATTTCTTTGCTGTGGGCATCTTTTCCACCCCCATTTTTTCCTTCCTTTAGATTTAGAAAGTGTTTCTTCACAATTGACAATTATAGGAATGTCTTCTGTCTTTCTACCATCTCTCTCCATACGTCCTGTATCTGGGTGTGACTTCCTACTTATTTAATTAGACTCTTAGTTATACATTTTATGAGATGGCTAATTGTTGTACATGTTTTTAGAAGTGATTGAATAGCATTAGAATTAGACATAGCTGCCTTTTGTTGTGACATACCATAATGCTAATTTTGTGCATGCATCTTTGTGTTTGTCTACCGTAATCTGTGTTTAAAAGGGTTGGTTATTATCCTGTTTTTATATCCTGATATTGCACATTGGTATATTTTTTAAATTGAAGGTAAGAGTGATTGCATTTGTTATTGGCTAAATAAATGAACAGTCTGGAAACATTTGCATTTAGAAATAAAATTAGGGGCAATTTTTTTTGTGAGAAAAAAAAATTGCTATGATTTGTTGATTATATAGTAGAATACAAATGATGTATTGTGACATTTTACAAAATCATGGTTATTTAAATTTGACTAAATCTTCATTAAAATTACAAGAAATTAAAACAATGACCTGTATGAGGCTACACAAACATGTGGCATCAAAATTTGGTTCAAACTTAACTATTTGCTATATTTATTATGGATAGGTCAGAAAATACAACAGTCTCCTTGTCATATGATATTGTTATCATGATATTCATCCACATGGTAGCAAATAAAATGAATATGCGCACAAATTAATTTTCAATGACTTAATGTTGTCTTGTACATATTACATTATGTATTATGAAACATGAATTATTGTAATGCAAATATAACTCTGTAGTTCTCTTATTTGCATATAGGGTTTGCTTATCTACAAAAATACATCAAGATTATATATGATGTGGGGACTTGTTTTCAATGTGTATCTACATGCATGTATGAATGAGCAACATTGTCTTGTCAAATAAATAGATTTCCAGCCTTCAAGTGAGATTATAAGGAGTTATTCAGACAACTATCTTTGACTAATATACTAGTTTTATATCTTTGCAGGTACTCATGATGCTGGTCAGAAGGAAGGTTCAGCCGGTGGACCGTGGGAGGTGATCAATCACGAGATCATCTCAGTTCCAAACACCATAGATTGCACCCTGACAGGTAAGCACTGCTAACAGATTATCGTTATAAATGTTCACTATTATTATTATTATCATGATCATCATGTGTGCCTAGCTGGCAGAAGGGTGCGAGTGAATACTTAGATTAGGTGATCTCATATTTCAAACACTCATAACTTTCTTATTGTTGGTCCGATTTATTATTAAAAAATATGGAAAAAATTGCCATTCTGTTTCTCTTTTTATTTCTGCTTTCATACAAATTAATTCAATGGTTGGATTTCCCTTTAACCCTATTTAGCCCGGGCTATTTTGAAACTGCATAGCCCGGGGGGGGGGGGGGGGGGGGGGGCTTCTAAGGCCCCCCCCCCCCTATGATCTCGGCCGTGAAACGCCCGATCGCCGCGAAAATTTGCATACATGTCAAGTGAAGTGTATAGAATACTATGGTAATTTCAATTTTTTGAAAAATTCACTCATTTGCATATTTATGGTAATTTATGCAAATAAGGTCATTAAATTCACATTTTTGCCCATAAATCAGACATTATTCATATTTAAGCATTCTTTCTCACTACATATATTTGTTAGACCATTTGAAATAATAATAAATCACAAAAATTTGAAAAACCAGGGTTATTCCTTATGTTATCTATTGTTTTGATAATTTCTTATGTATTTCTTTGTTTTTTTAACTTATTTATTTCATTGTTTTTGTTGTTTTATTTCATTTCCAACTATAATTCAACTATTTGACCCCAAAATAAACACCTAAAATCTAAACAAGACCAAATAACCGATGTTTTACCTCTTTATTTGAAAAATGAGATTTCCATATGTTTTGTACACAAATCACAAAAATGAGCGATTTTCGGGCTGACATGCGAAGACAAAAGGACACGTGCCTTTGTAATGGTAGGTCCGATTTTCGAAAAATTGCGCAAGACTCGAAAGAAAAAAGTCACAAAATTTCAGTGCAAGATTTTCTTGCGTTAAAAAATTATCGCAAAAAATGTCGAGGGGGGGGGCTTCTCAAGCCCCCCCCCCCTCCTGGCTAAATAGGGTTAACACTGATATCATTACTTCAATAATCAAAGATTAGAAGTTTGCAAATATGACAATATTTTTGTGTTCACTTATGCACTTCTGCTAGGTGACCAGATAGATGTTTGTCTTTTGATACAGTGTAGCAGTGCATTATTTAGGGTTTCGTTCATGAATGACACTATACGTGTATGTATTATTATCAATTGGTTCTGTTGGTTCTTATGATGATTATGATGATAATAATAATGATGAAGATGATAATAGTGATGATGAAGATGATGATGATGATGGTGATGAAAATGATGATGATGATGATGATGATGATGATGATGATGAAGATAATAATAGTGATGATGATGAAAATGATAATAATGGGTATGATAATAGTGATGATGAAAATGATGAGGATGATAATAGTGATGAAGGTATGTTTTCTTACTGAATTGCTAAGAAAGGAAGCAAATGTATATGATTGTAGGTAAGCAACTACAGGGACTGAAAATTTAAAGTTCTATCCACAGGACTTAAGGCCAATTCAGATACCCAGTCGCAACCCCCGCAAAAAAAAAATCACATTTTCTTTTGTTGTGTTAATTTTGAGGAGGTAAAATAGAGCCACCATGACACAAATCATATTTTGTGCTGCCTGGCATCAAAATTATTTCAACATGTCAAATTAATATAAATTTAGTATAAAATATGATGTCACACATACAGCCTGCGCAGCATTTGGAAAAATTCTTTAGTATCAATGGCGAGGTTCCCCAGCACCCTTTTTATGCCTCCGCCCACAGAGGTAAACTTCTAAAATTCCAGCTATTAGCCTAGTATCGCAAAATATCTAGAACCACTAGAGATAATGAGGTTCAAACTGGGTGATAATATGTATTACTGAAAGAGGACGATCTGATCCGATTTTGGAAAAATAGGTCAAAGGTCACAGGATAATGTCTGAAATTACAGGTTTTAGCCTTGCTATTGCAATATCTCAAAAACCACTTGAGATATGGGGTTCGAACTTGGTGATAGTATGTATCATTATTGGAAGAAAATGTGATTAGATTTTGAATTAAGTGGATCAAAGGTCATAGATGTCATTGGCTGAAAATACAGGTATCAGCTTTTTTATTGCAATATCTCAAGAACAACTAGAGGTATGAGCTTCAAATGTTGTGAAGTTTATATTGGAAGATGACTTACCGTTAATTAGACTTTAGGATACAGTAAGTAGAACAAAGTTAAAAGGTCATAGAGGTCAACTTTTTAAATTAGAGATATTACCCAAGTTGTTATCACAATATGAATCAAAAGATTCTTGAGGTACAATGCATGTTAAACAGTTGGTTGAACAGTACTGGGTTATTCTGACCTTAAACATTTCTCAAGTGTCCGGTTCATTAAGATTTTTTAGCTTTCAAAGTTTTGAGAATAAAGATCTAAATCTGAATGCCATCATTTCCTGTTTTCCATCTACACCTCTCTGTAAAGAATTCAATAAACAAATGATGAATGTTTATATAGAGGGTACAAAGATTGTTTGCTTAAGATTTTCCGGTTAGACTCTCTCATCACTTCCTTCTTAGAAATTTGGCATATTTATTTGCTAGAAATATCATGAATTTGTCACTTTTCTTTAAAGTGTGAAATCTGATTTTTGTTTTTTGTTGTTGTTGTTGTTGATCTAATTTGGATTTTTGTCATTCTTTCTCAACTTAATCTGCATGAATAGTTTGGTCAGTTAGTTATGTACTGTATTGAATAATTCCGATGCTCGCTTAGTTGATTTATATTTTTTGTTATACAACTAATGATATCTTGCCGGAAGAAACCCAATACTGACTTGTCAGGGAAGAATCACATGTCTCATCCTCTATTCAGTATTGATCTGCCAAACGCATCTCATTTCATTTTCTAGTCAGCAATGTTAACAATTTATGTGCTTCATGTCTATCATGTTTCGTTTTCATGTACACTTTCAGTCAAAAAGTATTTCTTAGATCCACAAAGATAGTGTCTGTTTTGACATACATGTCTTTGCATTCCTAAATGTATGATCTTACCTCAGCAATTAGACGGGTATAAAGTAACATGTTTAAGAAACATAAGATTCATATGGTGTAGAGTACAAAGTATGAAATCAATCTTTATTTGAAGGTTGCAAATTTGCTGTTCAATTTTCATGAAGATTTTCAATGAAATAAATTCTGTAAATGGATGTGGCAACAATCTAACAATATTTGCCTTCACTCTGCTGCTGATAATTGATCTATTTTGTTGTAACGCCCATCCATCTTGATGTTTAATTGAGGATCATATGAAGGCAATGCAAAAGGGTAAAGCATCGTGTAACCGAGCCCCTTGAAAGCAAATTCCCATTTAATTGGATGCCTTCATTATCGAAGTTAATATATAACCAGGTTAAAGAGATGACTGCAATCATCAGATCTATCTCAGACTCTAATAATTACCAGTCATTAAAGAGAACCAATCACATAAATGTATTTTGCTTTTTTTATTCTTGGGGTTCCTGTGCCGGTTTTCTCTATTGAAAATATCAGTTTCAAATATCAGATTTCAATAATTGAAAGAGATATTAACACTTTAAATACAGAAACTTCACTTAACATATGGGTCAAAAATTGGTGTGCCAATTAGTGAATACTCTTGTCGAATATGAATATTGACATATGGGTTATTTCTCAGTGATTTTCATTTTCAAATAATTGTATTTGTATGGCTCTACAAATAACTTATAACATCAATTATACCAGTAGTTTTAGAAGAATTCCATATCCTTGTCAACACCTTTAAATATGTTTTATCTAAATGTATTGATGTAAAGGAAAGACAATGTGATACAGAACCACTTCAACAGAAATTTACTAGAGACACACAGAGTAAACGGAAAATAAATTATTGCTTGTTTGGTGACCAAATGACCCTCTCTAATCAGTTTGCTTCCATATCAGTCCTTCTCTCTTTCTCTATCTCTTTCTTGCTCTCTCTCCCCCTCCCCTTTTGTGATTTTACATTAAAAAAAAACGTAAGATAACATTTTATCAGAAATTAGATCAACATGTTTAATTTGCTTAGACTTAGTGATGTAAAGTCATCAACTGGAGACAATGTTATAGTTTTTAAATGTTGCCAAACATAGTAAAGTTCAAAAGTCCAAAGTTTTTTTAAAGGTTTTTTGCACCCATGCAGCACAATAAGTATAAAAATTCACAAAATATGGGTTTTCACTACTTTTCCACTCGCCTGGAATTTTGATTACTATAAACACTGACAATCACCTAAAAAGCTGATTGTTTTATTCTTATACTTGTAGAATAAAATTGCTTTAATAATCTTAAGATAGTTTTCTCCTCAGTTTGAATTTGCATTAGTTTCTAAGTTCATTTGAGTTGTTTCTCACAAATGAAATTTGAAAGTTAAAATTGTAGAAACAGATTAACCTATTGAGACATTAAGATTTATTTAAAAGGTTGTTCCTTCATACTATTTTGGCCCTAAAGTACTTTTTTCATATGGATGTCCCAAGGCATAAACAAATATATAATTCCATGGTTTAGAAAGATAGATAACATTCTTTAGTATATTATCAGTGATAAACATTTTGTAGTGATACATACATGTAAGTACAGAAACAATATATTCAAGCATCTGAACCAGTGACCTGAAAGGCATGGTTGTCATGTGATGAACTGGCTGTGTCTGTATGCTGTTGGAGCAACAATACACCAATGTTGATGTTACTCTGTTCATTTTCTTGAGCTGCAGGGACAGAGTTACTTACTGAAGTGCTCGGTGGTCTAACCTTGTACCACATACCAGAGAAGATGTCCATATAGGTCTTTCTGAATTTGCGATTGAGAAGGGCGTAGATATAGGGATTAACGCAAGAGTTTGTTACCAGCAAAAGAACAGAAACTCTATGGGCGGCACGGGATATTTGATTGTTATAGTTGAAGAAGTGAATAACAGCAAAAG